TGACGAGTGGTAAGCTTCATCGTCTCGTTACCAAGCTTGTTGCAGATGTCGTCCATCTGAATCCACTGTGCGGCAGTAGCGACACCACCAGGCAATCTGCAGCGAATCATGAAGCTGTAGGCAGGTTCCAGGCCTTGGGCCTTTCGCTCGTCGCGGACATCGCGATCGTCCTGCATGTAGGTACCGTGAAACTTGGTCAGCTGCTGATTGGCGGCGGAGATGGCACCGGTGGATTCATCCCTCAGATCCTCAGCGATAGTACCACGAAGGAAGTTGGATTCAAGCTTGATATCTTCGTTGGTAATTGGCGGGGGCTCATCGGGGAGGCCATCGACCTTGTCCACGCCCAGGACCTGCCACAGCTTGGGCTCCCACTCCTGGTAGCCGGTCTGGAAGCCATCGGGATCCTGGTCGTCTCCCAGCCCAGTATCAACAAATCGCCTGCCACCCAGGTTACCCAAAACTCGGTCAAGATCCTTGGCTGGCTTGTTGTAGTAGATCCTATCTTCCTTGCGCGGCCAGTAGTGGCTGTCACCCAGACCAAAGACAGAGTAGTTGACAGTAGCTAGGTCAAGATCGGTGTTGTCCTTGATAGCATCCCAGAATGCCAGACCATCTTGAGGGAACTCTCCCTGTCCAGCGGTGGATGTGATGAAGACAATGTTCTCTTCGCCTGGCAAATCTTCGAGCGGGTAATCGTCCATGGACATGGCCGCCGTCTTCAAGCCTCGGGCTCTACCCCGGTTGGCCAGTCGCTTGGCGACATTGCTGGCATTGCCGTTGTCGGAAGCGTACAGGATGGTCAAAGGAGCACCCAAAAGGCCCTCCAATAGCTGGTTGTAGGCATCCTTTGCCTTCCTCTTCTGTGCTGCGCGGACCTCGGTTCCGAAGTCCTGGCCAAGGTTGGACGCAAAGCTAGGCTCTTTTTGCATGAGCTGGGTCAGTTGGTTGTCTCGGTCAAGGAAAGCCTTCAGCTCCTTCTTGATGAGCTCAGAGTCTAGTGAGAAAGTGGGCTCGCCGTTGGCTTCGTTTGATGGGTTCCATCTGTAGAGAGGCCAATATCCGGTGTCCACAGCCCTCTTGGTCTCCTGCAGAACAGTGAGAGGGGAATCGGTCTCGCCAAAATAAGGCAGGTAGGCCAAAACAACTGATGGGCCGTTGAACTTGTCGGCTTCCAACAGGGCCTGAAGAACCTGGGTGTATGAGCTGTATACAGCAGTTGAGGCTACATAGGCGTTGCCGAAGTGCATGGCGTACAAACCAATGTCCTTCTTTCTGCGGTTGGCGTCCGCCAGAGCTTTCTCGGAATAAGGCGTTGAGTCAATAATAAGCATGTTGACGTTTTCGCCAGATGCAAGGACGTGGTGGACACCAGAGTTGCCGAGATCGTAAGCCCAAGCGTCAGAGCCCATCAGCCAAAGAGATTCCTTTCGGAATAGCGCACGGTTGGAGAGAAGCTTCTGAGACTCAGGAGAGTTGTCCTGCTCCAACTTGGCAATGACCTCGTCCGCAATGAGATCAGACTTGGCCTGATCATCAGAGTTGACAGCCCATCGTGCCAGCCAGCTCTTCAGAGCCTCGCTAGTAGAACCAGAGCTGCTCGCCGCCTGCTTAACTTCGGCGATAAAGTTGGCTCGCAACTCCTTTCTGGCCAATAGAGAGCCGAAACCGAATTCGGGGCTGGCAGAGACGGTGGCAGAGATGCCAGCGTCCTGAGACTCCAGGGCATTGGCAATATAGGCTCTGCTGCCAAAAAGCTGGTCGAGGATCTTATTATAAGCAACCTCGAGCTTCGGGGCTTCGATGCCTTGTGCTACGGGCTCGCTTGGCCCCTCCTTGACACCAACTTCAAGGTTCTGGATGGGCTTCTCAGCAGTGAGGTTCTGCACAATGCCACGTAGAGCCTGGGTGGTGGCCTCGGGGGCAATGTATCCCAGCTGGTGGCCAACGATGGTCTCGACACCGCCGGGGCCGCTCTTGACAGAGGACAAGACGTCAATCAACAGGGGACCCCATTTGGTGGTCTTTCGGTGAATCTGTTCCAGGACAGCGACCCTCTTGATGGTCCTAGGAATGCTGGAGACGAGCTTGGAGCCGATCCAAGGTCGGTACAGGCGAGGAGTAAGGATGCCAATCTTGGCATAAACGTCGTCGGGCTTCGCGCTGTTAATGGCCCGAGCAAAAGCGCCAGTGTCGGATCCGAAGATGAAGAGGCAGTTCTCTGCATTGGCAGGTCCAGTGTACTCGAAGGCGCTGTATTGTCTTCCAAGAGCGGTGTTCAGCTGCTCCCAGATGCGAGAGGCGCAGGTGTAGACATCTTCGGATGTCACTCTGGGAGCGGTAGTCTCGACAGTGGTGGCGACGGATGAAGCGCCAATAGGGGTACTGGAACTGCTAGCCTGGCTGGTCTTGGCAGACTGCTCAGACACTGCCTTGGAGGCGAGTGAGGCGGTTGACTGCTGAAGACCCGAGCTCTTGTCAGAGCTGCCAGAAGCCTCGACTTCCTGGAGTTCCGAGGAAACGGCAGCGTGTCCATCGTCGGCGTATAACCCAGTGGCCTTGATGGTGCTGGCCTGGAATCTCCTGACACCCTCGATATCAAGTACAGCCCTCACTACGGTAAAGTCCTCTAGGCCAATGGGTTCATCACGGGCTGAAGTATCTGGAGAGAAGAAGTGAATGACAGCCTTGCCGGTGCGCAGGGCTAAAGCATGGGCGGTGATGGCCATATCCTGAGCCTCCTGGAGAGTCTCAGACTGGAGGAATGTCCATCCTGAGTTCCGGATAGAAGTGATGACTGAGTAGTCGGAAAAGCCGCGTGGCTGCAGAGATACATGCAGGACAACAGGGTAGTTGGCGAGCTTGTAGAGGTGAGAGATGGAGGGGAGGAGGATGGAAGAAGAGGTGGTGACAGAGACGAGCTTGCCTGAGCGGATGGGAGCAAAGACAGAGAGTAATGGGTCATTGTTATGGCGGACATGCTGGATCTGTGTTCAGGCAAGCGGTCAGTGAGTTTTCATGCGTCAATGGCTGTCCTCGGGCTGTCGGCGGACTAGGATCGGGTCGTCGTCAGGGTGAGTTGATTATGTGTAAGTGCGGCAGAAAACCCCAACCACCAAAACAACGAGCATCCCGGGACTAAAAAAATCGCCAAACACTAACCTCTGGCACAGTGTCCTCAGTAGCTGCGACGATTCCTCGATCCTTGCGGCTGGCAAACCACTTTAGGTGCGAGGAAAACTCAGAATCGGCAGCCAATGACGGCTGCACGGAAATGACGACATCGCTGGACAAGTAGGCGATTCTCGCAGCTGCAGAGAACGGAAGAAGAGCAAAGTTAGTCCGGCTGTAATCACAAGAATGCCTCAAAAAGAGTAGAAAGAAATTGTAGTCGTGTATTCAATAAAAAAAAATCATCGACTTACCGGCCTCCTCAGGCGTGCGGATCTGGACCGAGGTCGCCATGCCCTTTTCTAGTATCCGGCGCCTCGAACTGATCGTTCAAGACTGTGAAGAGACGGAAATGTAGTCTCTACAGGGTCAAAAGAAAGGGCAAATTAGGAGAGAAAAGGGAAGAGATGGAAAGGCAAGAGAGGCAAGAAAAAACCAAGAGAAAAACAGAAAGGTCCCCTGGGAGAGAGGTCTGGAGAAACGGCGTGCAGAGGAATGGTCAGATCGTTTTAGTTATAAGACCCGACCCGTTTCGACGACGGCCAATTCACCCCCAGTCGATCCCGCAAGACTCATCCGTGCTCTCAGTCAATAGTTGTGCCAAATCGCTGCCACGAACTGCCTCTGTCTTTCCCAAAAGCCTCTCCAGGCTCCACCGCCTGGCCTCAGCCAAATTTCCATTCCCCGCAGAAGCCCGAGTTTTCGAGGATTGCGTGATCGCTTAGCGCTTTGGAGTTGTGCGCAAGTCTTGCGTGGGCGCCACCCGCCAGAGCGCAGCCATAGGACGGCGGCGATGGCGAAATCGCTCTCTCTGACAAATCCCTGCCGTCAGATTCGTTGCGATGCGACAGCGGTAATATGGAGAGCTGGAGAGCATTTTGCCTGCCAGGAAGGGGGGATTGTTGATGGAGGAGATGTACAATCTTCCGTTATAGAGGTTCCAGGGACTAAATGGCGCCTTCCTTCATTATACTATCCTTATCAAGGCTAACCGTACTAAACTCCGTGTATATATTGATCCTCTCATATTGTTGTATCTAGCTGCCTATCAAGCAGCTCGTGAAATAGCAAAATCTTCTCTCGCCCAGCTTCTACCACCACCGTCAACCTTCTTTGCTCGAATTCATGCCCTCAACTGACGCCATCAACACTAAACCCAGTTCAGCATCTGCTGGCCCGCCGCTCTCGCCGCAGCCATGCCGCAGACACGCCTATTCCAACAGCTATTCTGCAAATCCATCCTTAATCCATTGCCATCAATTAGGCTGAGCGGGACTCTTGGATTTGGTGCTTGTTTAGACTCCATCCGGCCCATCAAACTCTCCCCTCCGACTTCCGGCATTCTCTGGAGAGCACCGACGAGCCGGGCAACCTCATTCGTCCATTCGCCTCCTGTCCAGCCAAGCAGATGCCCCGTAAGCCATTCACTAGAACCACTAGAACCCCCGAATGCCGAGCAAATAGCAGGGCCCGGCCGTCGGAGCTGGTTTTCCATGTCTCTGATCGTATGTCTCTGCCGCACCCTTCAAATAAGCATACCAATGGCAGCGTGACTTTATGTATTAAATAATTAAGGCCACACCCGTGACCGCCCAAAATAGCAAAAATCAAAAACTATGCCGAGACTTTCTTTCCTTTCTTTCGATGATGAATCGCCGGGTTCCAATCGCGTCATTTCATACGCCTCCAGCCGTCTCCTTCGCCCTGTCCCTCTCTCCGTCTATATCGTCACCTCTCTTTAGTCTCTATGTGCAAGCGTCCACTATTTGTTTCCTTTGCTTTATCTTGACTTGATTCAACCAGTCTCCCTTTCTCTCTCAATCCATTTCTTATACTTCGCCGGCCAGAGTACCGGTTGAGCTAGGCTTCCGGCTGGAACCTCCGACAGTCCACTCTCCCGCCTCGGAATAGTCCATCCAGTAGTTGCGTCCAAAAGACACCATCGTTCGGCCAAGCTGACCCCTCCGGCCTTCGCCGTCAGGCAGGTCGGTCGCAAAAGGTCCCACATGGTCGTCGACGCCGGGTCCCTCGAGGATCATCAGCTGCATATACTTTTGCAGCACCTGTCGCGCATAGTTCATGACGACCAGGCTAAAGTATACTCGGATCAAAGTCAATCCAGTGATGAGAATCATGCTGGCCGCCGTCTCCTGGGGCACAGCATCCCCGTGCATCGCGGTTTCACGACGAAGACCCTCCATCCCTTCGGCAACAATATCGGGTAGGCTTGAAGGCTTGACTCCAGACCCGGTCGCTAACGCAGCGTTGGCAAAGTACCAGTCCATTCCAAAAGCAAATGTAGAGGCACAGTTGATAGCAGTATCAATCACATACAACCACGCCAAGGCCAGGCACTCGAACGCAGTCTGTTTTCGTATATGTGGGATCAGGTAGACGAGGGTGCCGAGGATTCCGATGCAGTAGATGTAAGTCGTAAGTTGAAACAGCGAGAGTTGAAATCCAGTAAGAATAGCAAGAAGGCCATAGACGCCGGTGACCTTGTTGAAGACCAGCGCCAAAGAAATCAGCTCGGTACCGGTCTGGAGGCTGATGAAGCCAAAGAGAGTCTATATTCGCTAAAAATCAGCATCATGCCTTCCTATTTTCCGCTCACTTGACCATCTCATGACCAAAAGGAAGAGGTTGTCACAGGTAATCGACAGGAAAATGCCTACCTTGGGACGGGGTATCCGCAAATAAAGCCTCGTAAACTTCGACATGATGGATAAATTTCCCGCCGCCGTCGAGTTCTATACCAGAAAACAAAGCAAATCAGGTCTATTATCGGGCAGGAACTGACGTTTGGGCGCTGAGGAAGAAGAGAATGACGGAAGAAGCGACAGGACCTCGAAAGATTTCGGCGACGGCGGAGATGATGCGCCCAGGAGACGCCCGAAAGCGCGCTTAGCCACATCGAAGGGCTGAAAAGCCCCACAGCAGCCGTCGTTTAGCCAGTCACAAAAGAGCCAAGATGATCTACAAGTGAAACAGACACATGACAAATCACATGATATAATCTCTTGTTCGAGAAGCAATTAATCTAGACGCGGTCTTTAAAAAGCTGAAGCGCTTACATAGCAGTAAAAAAGAGTATTAGTATATATATAAACGATCGTGGGCACGTTGTCCCCCTTGCAGGTATTATACAAAGTCCCATGCACTCGCCAAATTCGAATTATATATCCTATCCTCGGCATAAATGCATCGTGACTGCGAAGCGACGCTGAAATGGGGATACTGGGTTGGTTATCTTTATTAAGCTTTCATACTCCATCATAAATTCTTGACATCTTTGCTTTAGCATGAGCAGCCTTCTTGCTGAGGCTGTTGTGTGTTTGTCCGCACATCAATCACTGCGAGGAGGAAAAGAGTTAGAAATATATCCCAGCAAATGCAACAAAGGGCCAAGAGATCATCCACTGTAACAGGGTAGACGTGAGAAAAGATGGACAGAAGAAACTTACTTTGGTTGGTGGCCTGAGTAGCCGAGTCGGAACCCTCCATACCGGGCAGGGCTTGCGCTATCCTTTTGAAAAGGTTCTGTACGTTGTGGCCAAGCTTTGCACTAGTTTCAACAAACCTTAAGCCTTGCCTCTTGGCCTCCTCCTCTCCTTGTTGAGTTGTGACCTCTCGCTTGTCATTCAGATCCGTCTTGTTTCCAACCAGCACAATAATCACATCGTTTCCTCTCTCGGCCCGGACATCGTCGATCCATTTCTTGGTGTTTTGGAATGACTTTGCGTCTACGGTGTGGTATGCGTTGTTAGTCCAACCGGAGGCAGATATGGTGGGGCTTCACCGCGAGTTTGGAGGGGTGAGTGGAGGAGGAGGGGGATTTTGGCGGTAAAGAGAAAAAAGAAGACGGGAGAAGTCCATACTAGAGATGTCGTAAACCACGACGGCAACGCTTGAGTCACGGATGTATGAAGGGATCAGACTTCGGAATCGCTCTTGGCCTGCGGTATCCCACAGCTGTAGTCGTACCGTCCGGTCTTCGAGATACATGGTCTATAACTAGGCATTAGGCTCGGGTGCCGGCAGGTGACGCGAATGATCTCTTTTTCTCCGTACCTTTGAGAGAAAGTCGATACCAATTGTTGCTTGATACATATTATCGAAGGAGTCGTACATGAATCGAGTGATCAGAGACGTCTTGCCAACTGCGCCGTAGAATCGGTCAGTCACAAAATCGCCAGATAGGTGGAGCCGGGCAATAGACACATACCGCTTTGTTCTCCCAAGAAGACCAGCCTAGACAAGGCCGGGTTAGCATTATAACCTTGGGTGTAGACGAGAAAGTGGGCAGAAGAAGACGACGCACTTGAATTTCTTCAAGGGGTTGTTGTATGATCCCGCCTGCGCCATGGCTGCTTCGTGTGATGGTTTGTGATGCTGGCTTTGGATATTCCGAGGGGTGCCAAAGAAACTGTGGTTGGGCTGCTTTCTGGTGGACAGAGGCAACGCTTCCAATTGTTTGGTGATGGATTCTCGCAGTGCACGGATTTGTTCTCTGATGCTGTTCTTTGTCGCAGCTTGTTCAACAGTTGAGATACTAGGCAGCCCGAAAGGAGGTGGTGACAGTTGATAATGGCCGCCACCAGGCTTCGGGTCAATAAATAGCAGCACAGGCAAGAATTAGGACCCCGAGCCACCTTTGGGCCGTGGACAGCTCAGAAAACGGGCCCCTCCGCATGCCGTGCCCCGCTACCCAACCAACCGTTCTTTACGCGGCCAGCTTAGGCCTAGCCTGTCGTTGCGCGATAAACGCTGGATTAGGTGCCTGTAGCCGTTAATTTGCTGGACGCTGGTGGGGGACCCGCTAAAAAATCTCGAGAAAAGTTGCTGATAAGACAGAATCGTCCAGCCAATGTCCTCCACACGGTAAATTTGCGACTGCGACCTGGTATTGCCACAGCTGGGCATTATTTCCAAATTTCCGCATCTCGATAAGATCGATTTCAGGAGGGCACGACAAGAAGAGAAAAAGAATGCCGGTTCTTCGCTCAGCTACGGCTGGCTCTGGCGAAGCCCCCAAGCAATTCAACCAGCCATCCAGGAAAGGAAAGAAGGCATGGAGGAAGAACGTGGACGTTACAGAGGTCGAGGACGGCCTTCGAGAGCTGAATGATGAGATTATTCGAGGGTACAGTGCTGTTCATCAATATTGAAAGGGGAAACTCGCTGACAGAATCTGCAGTGGTGTCATTCGAGAAAAGGCATCCGAAGATCTCTTCGTCCTCGACATAGCAGGCGACTCCAAGATCCCCCAGAAATTCCCCAAGCACGTCAAGAAGGGTCTCAAGGCCGACGAGATCATCAACAAGCGCTCGGCCGTGCCGGCAGTCCCCATGCGAAAGCGTCCCGGCGACAAGATTACCGACGGAGTCATCGCAGCCAAGCGCCCGCGCACGGATTGGGTCTCTCACAAGGAATTGGCTCGCCTAAGAAGAGTTGCCGACGGGCATCACGAGAATACCGTGGCTGTCAAAGACGCCACCTTTGATCTGTGGGATGCCCCCGCTGAGGTGACACAGGATCCTACCGACTTTTTGCCTGAAAAGGTCGAGGCCAAGGTCCCCAAGTCTATGAAGCAGCAGCCTCTTTCGCTCCTCGCCCATGGAAAACAACTTCCCGCGGTGCTGAAGCCTACAGGCGGATACAGCTACAACCCGTCTTTCCCCGAATATGAGAAGCGACTCGCAGAGGAGAGCGCCAAGGCCATCGAGGCCGAGCAGAAGCGCCTCGAAGCAGAGGCCGCCGAGGCCGCGAAGCTCGAAGCCGCAGCTAGGTCAGCCGCCGAAGCAGATGCCGCCGAGGAGCGAGCCAACATGTCAGAGTGGGAGGAAGACTCCGAGTGGGAGGGCTTCCAATCCGGCGTGGACGAAAGGCCCAGCGCGAAGCAGCCCAAGCGCAAGACGCAGGCTCAGCGGAATCGCATCAAGCGCAGAAAGGAAGAGGAGCAGCAGTCGAAGCACAAGGCTAACATGAAGACCCGCCGGGCGCAGGAGCAGCGCATCAAGGAGATTGCCGCAGAGGTTGAGGAGAAAGAGAAGCAAAAGGCCCTCATTCTGGCTCAGGCCGCTGAAGACGAGTCAGACGCCGACAGCGAGATTGGAGAGGAAAAGCTGCGAAGAAAGCGGATTGGCAAGTACAAGCTCCCGGAAAAGGATCTGGAGCTTGTTCTGCCAGATGAGCTGCAGGAGTCTTTGCGACTGCTCAAGCCGGAGGGCAACCTGCTCAAGGACAGATACAGAAGCATGCTGCTTAGAGGAAAGGTGGAGAGCCGAAGACACATTCCCTTTAAGAAGCAGGCCAGGAAGAAGGTTACAGAGAAGTGGACGCACAAAGACTTTGTTTTATAGATTTAGAACTATTGACTTCTTTGTATATCTTCCTCGTGAAATTTTGTTTTGCTCTTTTTTAAGAAGAATTCAGATCAAGGCGTTTACATATATATGTTTTGCATAATTGAAAAGTTTTATTTTTAATCGCGAAGCAATGCTCTCAAGGCTACTGATTAAACGAGAAAAATGTACACACAATGGACATAGTAAATATATGTATGTACGTAACAAAGTAATTTTGCGAGTTTGGCGCCGCTCTTTGAAAATAATTTTATAGATTCTAAATCTGGCCAACACTTTCGTCTAAACACTTGTTTATCAAGCTTTTGAGAAGCACATCATTAAAAGAGGTAGATCTCTTAGAAAGCTACAAGATCTAAAAGGCATTTTTCGTCAGCATTTCTGTTAATCGTCGAGAACAGGGTAGGTTAGTAGAAAGCTGCGGCACGTACCTCTTCCAAAAAGTCCTCGCTTCATCCAATCCATCGCCATCAAGCTTCTCGTTCGGAAGCTTACACTCTGCGCAAAGTAAACTGATCTCCAGGCATAAACAGCCCAGAGTCCACCAGCCATGCTCCAGCCGTCACCCAGGTCAAAGACAGCAGAGTTCCCAATATATGCCAAGCTACCCAGGTGGCGGTATTCGAATGCCTTGTAGACGGCAGCATCCAAATCACCATCCCGGATATCATTTGCCAGCATTGCATCCGAGATCCTCGCCATCTTGTTGAACTTGTGGGCCAGGTAGCTTCCCTGCTGGTGGGCACGCTGAGCCGTGGCGGGGAGCGATGTCAGCTTGCTGTCGATCTGATTAAGTAGCTCTCGCAGCTCGCCAAAGTCGAGAGTTCCAGACTGGTCCTTGTCGAATTCGAAAAAGAGCTTATCAAGACGCTTGAGGTGACTGACCGCCTGCGGAAATCGCTTCTTGACATCCTGTGCAACTGTGCGCCAGTCTGAAAAATGGAGCTGAAGCTTTTCCGGTTCGATTCCACGCTTCCACGCGGTGTTACGGAGGAAGGTAACGATGCTCTCGGCCACGTTGTTCTGGACGGTGGAACAATCGCCAATGGCGTAAACGTCGCCCAGAGGAGCGCCATTTAAGCGCAGGTGAGTGTCTGTTTCCAACGCATGTCGGTTTGTCTGGACATTACCGAGCTTCTTTGCCAATATCTGAGAAAGGGCGGTTGGAGAGACACCGGTAGACCACAGACAGAAGCCGATTGGAAGTTCTTTGGTTAGTACAGATCCATCCGCTTGCTTCTGGCTAAAGATAATTTTGTCCGGCTGAACTTCCTTTACCCGCGAGTTGGTGAGCACCTCAATTTGGTCACGGTTAAACCGCTCCTCTGCATATTTAGAAACCGTTTCGTCGTAAGTGTTGAGAATATGGCTTCGGCTCTGAATGATGTGGACGGATATCTCATTTCGCAGTAGACGCGGAAAGTGTCGAGTCAAGTCCTCGTTCAAGAGATCAAAGAGCTCTGCGGCAAACTCTACGCCAGTCGGTCCACCACCGCTAACGACAAAAGAAAGAAGCCGCTTGCGCTCGTCGTCTGAGGTAGTAGGTAGACAAGCAAGCTCAAGGTTTTGAATGACCTTGTTCCGAATCATCCGCGCATCGTTGATATCTTTTAGGAAAAAGGCATTCTCCAGGCCCTTGACACCGTGAGGGTTCGTTGAAGAGCCAACGGCCACGACCAGTTTATCATAGGGGACGTAGAAGCGGACCTCCTTGCCTTTGTGATCGAATTGGGAGACCTCGACCAGCTTCTCTGAAAACTCGACGTCTTCTGCCCTGGCACGTATAAAGTGGCCGTGCACACGACTCAAGATTCGTCGAATTGGCTCAACTAGGGAACGTAATTCTAGGGTTCCCACAGTAGCGGATGGCAGCATAGGGGTAAAGAGAAAGTAGTTTGCGGGAGAGATGACGGTCACGTTGTAGTCGTCTGGGTTCAGTTCTTTGAGGAGCGCCACGCCGCCCCATCCACCACCCAGGATAACCAGTCTAGGCTTGCTCTTGCTCACATCATCGTCGATAAATACCTCGGCGATTGGGAGATTCTTGGGGCCGCCGCGGCGTGGCTGAAGCGCAAGCTGCGATACGTCGATATCGCTCTGCGTGTTGTGTTCCTTGTAGGTGCTGGCGTCGTACAGAAAGAAGCCCAGAACACCGCCGCCCAGGACGACACTCGAGATGCCAACCCACGCAGCAGCCCGGTAGAGGAAGTTGAGCAGCCACGATTTGCGCTGGGGCAGCGGCTTTCCGGATAGCGCGCGAGCGAGCATGAGGTTGGGATGTGGGAGTTGCGACTGGAGTAGGAGTCGCTCGGTCGAGTTCGCTGCCAGGGCGCCTGTTCTAGGTCGGGAGGAGAGCTTGGTGAAGCATCTCAGCTGTGTACATCTCGCTGTGGTGGCGGCTGTGCGCGGGCTGTTGGAGAGAATGAGACGCTGCCTGGTGACGCCACTCGCTGCCAGGCGGAGAGATCCCAGCGCCTTTGTTGAGGTCACCGGCATCGTCGACAGCAGGTCAATTGGGCCGATACGAGTCGTTGACCATGAAAGCCCAAGGCAGCCCCTCGCGCCAATTGATCGTTTTGCGGGAGCTCGAAGTCGAACGGAGCAATAGCTTCAAGTTGTTTCAGGCAAACAGCCAATGCCTCGCTATTCTATCCGTTAGTGCGGAAAGCTGCCGCTGCTCGTCTATAACAATGAAATCAAACGTGATTATGCGAGATTTGTCTAGAGACGTCCTCCTCCACGCACACGCAATGTGCGCCTTTTGCGATTGATATAGCTCGGCCCTTTGACTGGACCACGCTACTCTGGATATGCCGGCGAGGCTCATGTCGTCATAGGCCTCAGGATTGGGCTACAGGCCCCCACTAAAGATACAAAGTGCGTAGCTCTTTAGCGCTCCAGGGCTTCTTTAGCGACCCAGGAACGCCGATGTGCGATCGCTGGAGCGATCCGCCGATGCAACCTCGCCTGTCTGGGCAATGATGTTTTTTGCCGTGGAAATGCAGATTTTGTGACGCAGGGAAATGATGAGGAGTGGAGGCAAAAAGTCTAGCTAGGATGCAACCATGATAACTTGCTATCAATTATTATTACTTGCGTGCTGTGTGCTCTGTCCGTATGCTGCTGATTATTAGGGTAGAAATATTGAAAGCCAACGAGCGATATGCATCGAGGTGCCCAAATGAAGACAAATAAACAATAGGCCTCGATATAGAAAGAAAAAGATGAGACAGAAGGTAATAAAAAAAAAAAGAGCCCGCAGCCAGCCATCGCCGTCACCGTGCGTGTTATGAAGCCGGAATGCGGAAGTCGGCTGTTGAGCTTCGGCCTCGCGGCGATGTCACGGCCGCCGACACGGGCTAGCAACCCGGCACACCTCCGACAGCTGAATTACTGTAGCAGGAAAAGAAAAACGAGGATGAATTCTGATGAATTCTTCTCATAATTCTAGGCAAGCAGTATCCGTGTCATGATACTTTGCAATATAAAACGCCCACAATCGCTCACCCTTGTTTGTTTCAGATCACCATATTTGTATCAGTTGCAAGCATTCATTCAAACATCCAAAATCCAATAACATGTGCACTCATGTCATCATCAGAGCCGTCAAGCAGTTGTCGTCGCCGGCGGCTAGCACCTGTTGTCTCGCACGGTCTAAATGGAACCATCAATCTCGTCGTGTATCATGCGAGTAATATAGCGTGATGATATATAGATTTTTTTTCTCTTTCTTTCTTTAGGAAATGCAGGTCGCTTAACAACGGAAATACCTCTTTTCAACCCACCGCTGCTCTTGGTGAGGTAGGAGATTGCACACCACGGCCGTAATCTCTGGGAATACCGTCATCAACCTATGCAAGCCAACTTTTCCAGCGGAATAAGTTGCCAGGACGATACGTTCCAAAGCGACGCCGTGGTCGACTAGAACCTGAACAGCCATGAGAGCTGCTCCTCCACTAGCCATCTGCGTGTCGAGCAGCAACACACTTTCATGCTCGTGAATATCTTCCGGGAGACGCAGATAATGAAGTTCCGGTTCGCCAGTTGAATAACTGGACTGGATCAAGAGCCGTCCTGTTCTGCAGTCTGGAATGGTCTTCCTGAGCGCCGGTTCAAAGGCTGATCCTCCTCGAAGCACAATTACAGCGCTGACTTCTCCCTTGGGTCGCAGGCCGTTGTACTTGTAGCCCGGTGGCGTCTCAATTGTCGTTTCTTCGAACTGGACGTTATTCAGAGCCCTATATCAGAGTGAGTATGCGTCCCCGTTTGAGTTCATAGGTGACCTACTGTTCGACGATCAAAGCGGCGAGTCGATCGAAATAAAAGATAAAGTCCTCGGCGGTAGTGTCTATGTCTTGGAGAATGGTGTTCATGAATTTGATTTGAGGTGCTTCGCTCATGACCACGACGCGCTCGGAGAGGGGCTCATCTCTATCTCTGACCTCAAGCCTAGCCAGAGCCTCTCGATGGTGTATTGACTTTACAAAGAGCTTCTTTTCGATGAACTGAACCATCATATCTTTACATAACTCAGCACCTTTTTCAAGAGGAAAGAGGAAACCTCGAGCTTTGACTTACCCAGTGCAACTTGGTTCTCGATTCCTCGTGGTACGATTAAATCGGCCACCTTACGTTGCGGCTCGACGTACTAATAATTCAGGTGAGATGAGCCACGTCAAACCACAGCTCCGTCGAGAAACCTTACCTTTTCAAAATTCGGCTTCACGAAAGCGAACCACTGTTTTATACAGCCTTCGACATCTCGGCCACGTTCCCGAACGTCTCGGACAACTAGCAGGGCAGTAGTGAGCATTTGCGTCATCGCTTAATAACACTTCAGCGGAGAAAATGAAATGTCTTACTTCTCCGCGACAAGCAGGTGTCTGCATCAGCTTCGCAGTATATCTAAATGCACGTCAGAACTGATCCAACATCGTCATTTGCAATCAAGCATACTGCCATATCACATAGCTCACGGACTCGTGGGTCGTAGAGGGCGAAAATGCCTTCCAAGACAAGTACGTGTGGGGAATAAATAGATGTGGTGTTCTCCAGTCGTGCATGCTGGGCGAAGGAGTACACAGGAATCTCTGCTCGCTTTCTGGAAGGATTGAGTCAACAAGGATGTTCAAAGCTTGCTCCATGTACGGCAGATTATGGTTACCCAGCCTTCAAGTCTCGTAGGGAGTTGATGAGAGCGTCAAAGTCAATGGCCTACAAAAAGCATAGTTTAAGCGTCCGAGCGTGAGAGACATGGTACTTGCAATACAAAAACACCAGGGGAAGAAACACATCAAGGTCAGGCGCCATACCTCCGGGGAGTCGAAATCGTACGCATTGGCAAATGCCAGCTTGGATTGGGCAGGGGTCAAAGACTTATAGTATGAGTCCTAGTTTCATCATTAGTTACCGTGTTCAGGTCTGGCTGCGTTTCCTGGGGTGTTCATGCCATGGAGAGAATGACGACCCACGGCAGGTTGAGCTTCTTCACGATCGTCTGGGACAGCGTCGACTTGCCGGAGCCTGAGCTGCCCGCAACGGCAATGATGCTCACGTCTGCCCACGGCGGGGAGTAGTAAGCACGCTTCTGAACCGTGACATGGCTCTCGAGCTGCGACATTTCTACCGCCAGGACAAGTGCTGGCCCGAGCCGTGGGTTGGTTGGATCACCGTCAGGCCGTCGTTACGAGCAGGAACAAGCACAGGATTACGCTTTTTATCTTAGGGTACGGAGTAGCAGATGAAGTGGGAAACGGCTCGCGTGATCCCCACTCGGTGGTCGCCAAAGGTGAGTTTTGCCGGCACCAGGGCCAGAGGATGAATGTTGCCACGGAGGCGAGGAGTTTGAAAAAGCAGATAGAGGCGGGAGAGAATGGTGAGAGGGAATGAGGAGCGAAACGAGTGTTGATCGATGAGCAGAAGGCGGAACAGGGAACCGAGTCTTGATGTAAATTGACGGTCAGGGTGCAGCATAAAATCTTATCGGCTGGGCTGTGGCTTATCGACCTGCCAAACCCACCAGGATCGAGGCTTTCGAGGGCGCTGGACGGAGATGGCCGCCTCTACAGCTGGCCATCCGCTAGCGAGCGGCGGCGGATAGCCCCATCCAAGCGAAGCTTAAGCCGCGCGCTGATAGGCTTGGTAGGGCTTGGAGAGGCACGAGCACCTAAGCAGGCATGTGCCGGTGGCCAGGAAACCGTTCACATGGCTGCGTTGGTCGCGTCTGGGCGGCGGGCGGCGCGAGGCGGAAGAGGCCTTGAGATGAGGCGGTTTGGCGTCCAGATCCAGCCTCGGGTTGAGATGCAATTGGATGTTGGTGGTTGAGTTCCGATCAGGCAACCCTGTCTCGTGCTCCCACTGCCCTCCCTAGTTGGCTGTCCATAGCTGCTCTATCCTGTGGCGGCCAAATGGGATGAAAAGGGCCTACTCCAACGTGTCGTGTCGATAGGCATCCAAAAGCTATCCGCCTGCAGAATACGTTGGCATTTGGATACGGAGTACGTTAGTTTGCATTCTGCAGCCCGTTGATGTTGATATCTGACGGCTTTACGACAGGGGACTACGACAGGTACCCAGACAGGTACCCAGACATCTCGACAGAGAGAAGTCGAAAAAAGCTTACTTGTACCTATGCAAGGGGGTGTCCTCCCAGAGCATAGGCTGCATGCTTGTCATAATTGCTGTAGGCTGGTAATGCTGTCATAGTCTTGCTGTATCCCATACCCATAGCTTTTTTTTCCTTTATCCCCCGAGAAGCGAAAATTTTTCTCTTTGTCCCATCGTACCTAATTTGCTCTCGCTATCATGATCGTGATAACGCATTCTCAGGGCTCTATCCCAGCGAATTAGTGGTCAAGGACCCCGCTGGAAAGGGCAAACGCAGCCGCAAGAAGCTACTGTGGAGTCAGCTCCAGGCGTTCGCGCCATCCATTGGTCCGCTTGGATGACTGTACATGGAGACCGGGCCACCTCCAAAAAGGGCCTTCTCTGCTCCTCCGGCCTCTGCAGAAATCGTTATCCTTCCACAAACCAAACTTTTCCCTCGCTCTCAGCACTAGGCGCCACATTCGCCCTGTTCGCGAGCCTGCGGTTCCACGACTCGGCTTGCCAATGCGCTGAAACGTTGGCATTCTCGGCTTCCTTTTTGGCTGCCGCGCACGCCATGAGCCTCTTTATTCTCGCATAACCGCTGCCGTCGTACCGTAACTAGACCTGCTGCCGTCTTCCCGCTGGAGGACTGATCAGATTCATGGTACGATGCCGTGACGGCTCTGGACCTTGCACCCCCGCGCTACATGTCCTGACTCTCTGTGCAGATGTCGTCGGCTTCTACAGCTACTCCGGCTAAGCATGCCTTTGAGAGGCGTGTCGAGGGGGTCAAGTCTCCCAAAAAGTAAGATTCAGCCCCCCAACCTTGCTTCCTTGCTACTATTCCCGAGCAAGACCTCACATGATGAACATACTATCAATGGGAATCTCTCCGAGACATCTCTGCGGAAAACCGATATAATCTTCTTCTTTCCTGACATTTCAACCACCCTGCCATTCTATTGATTATCCTCCACACCATGACCAGGATGAGTTATTAACTAGCCTGTAGCGATATTAATGCCTTGATTTTGGACTATTTGACCATGGAGGGCTACCCGAACGCGGCCGCAAGGTTCTCGAAAGAGGCAAAATTGCAGCCGCAGCAGGATACCTCGGCTATCCGAGCACGGCAGCAGATTCAGAACTGCATCCATAGTGGAAACATCCAGACTGCTATCGAGACTTTGAATGAGCTTGATCCTGAGGTATGTGCACCATTGTTCTCACATCTTCCAATTTTTTCTTCTTTGCCCTTATGATTAGAACACGAGTTTTTACATGCACCACGCATATGGCTGGTTTTCCGGCCTGTGATGAGAAACACCACTTCCTTTATGATCCTCTACTATATGCAACATTTCATTTTGACCCCGATTCCCGTTACCTGCGCAAAGCTCCTAACAGGCGACTTAGATCTTGGATAAGGATAAGGCCTTGCGGTTTTCTCTTCTGCGGCTCCAGCTCGTTGAGTTAATCCGGGTTAGCAATGCGTCCGGAGGTGATATTGGTCCTGCACTGAAGTTTGCCACGGAACAACTGGGACCGCCTGCTTCCACCAACCCTGCATTTTTAGAGGACCTGGAAACAACAATGGCTCTGCTATTATTTAATCCAGACTCCTTAGAGCCGCAACTCGCTGCTCTTCTCGACCCTAGCCTACGTCGTGATGCTGCGGACAGAGTAAACAGGGCTATCTTGGAAAGGCAATCGACCAGACGAGAGGCCGCCATCCGCCAGCTCGTGAAAATGCGAGCCTGGGCAGAGAGTGCGGCGAGAGAGAAGGGGAACGGCCTCCCAGAACGTCTCGATCTCGGATTGGGAGGTGACGAGTCCCAAAGCCAAACATGGCGAGGATCCGGTTCTGAAAATGGACATGAATCCATGATGACGACTTGAACAATTGAATTTCGTTCATAACTTTGGCGACTCCTTTTTCTTTGTGCGGGTTATCATTCTATAATGACGATTAATGCTATGATATAATTCTGCTTCAATACTTTGAGACTGAAAAGAGCAGTCTCGGAGCGAGTCCTTCGTGAACTGAATGCTTAGTGCACATGCCGTAAAAGAGATACTACTAGATATAGAGGACAGGCCACATCGGTCGGCTATTCATGCTATGAAGAAACACTTCTGCTTGCAGAAAACAGAGAGGTTCAATATGTACCTGTGCCGTAAGGTAAAACGACATGTTCTCACTCGGTTAATTGACATGTTTTCACTCGGTTAATTAACATGTTCTCACTCGGTTCGTCTTTTTCTTCAAAGGCGTGACCGCGCTAATGGAAATTTGACAAAATGTTTGCTTTATCTAATAAGTATATATGTATGGAGCAAGCTTAGTAGCTGCTCTATTTTGTTCGAATGTGCTTCAACTTCTTTGGTGAGTATAGGAAGTTGTTTGCGTAGGCTTTGGGTGTGATCTTCCGAGAGTTTGGCTCTTGGACAAAGTATTCGTAGCCCTGCTTCTCAGCAAAATGAATGGCGTCCTCCTTGGATTTGAAGTTGATGTTGGTTCCCTGCATGAAATCTCCCGAAGATTGCCAGCCCATCAACGGGTTTTCCCAACGATGTCCCTTGGGCAAAATATCCCAATCCATTCGCCAGCGATCACCCCTGTGATCTCCAGATTGTGTGGCTGGTTTGGCCTCCTGGTAGATTCTGTACCGGGAATTAGAAACACCAACCTTTACAAATCTCAGGCTATAGAAACAAAACGTCAAACTAACCGAACTGTCCTTCCTTGGAGCTCCATAGGGGCACCAGAAACGGTAGCGGCAGGAAGAACGTCCTCAGTGCCGTCCTGCACGCGCTTGGGGACCGGAGTATATGTGCTACACATTGTTAGTAACCAAGTTTATCGCAAAGAGACGAAAGTAGCTGTCGTACGAAGTGGCTTTGTCGAGGGGAACGTCGTAATCGGGCTGGTTAGCACTTGGCATCGCAGGGACGACGTCGGCGGGCTTTGCCGCAGAGCTTTCGAAGCGGCGGGGGATAGACGCCAGCGCGATGCGTGGGCGCATGGCGTTGCGCACCAGGCGAGCAGCCGACTGTGTTCTGAGAGACGCCATGGCGAAGGAAGCGAGCCTCTCAATTGATTGAAATGGTCTTGTCCGCGATGGTCATGACGGTGGTTTGCGGCGATTGTTCAAGGTGGGCTTGAGCAAAAATGAGGGGCGCTGATTGGCTGATGCGGAGCGATATTTTACCGAGACGAGTGCTTTTCGGCAAGAACCTCTTGGGCGGATCATGGTTCAAATCCAGCGATTTATCGACGACCTTTCGCCATTGAGCGCCTCCAGACGTAGCTATCCGCCATATTTCAAAGCGTTTTCCCTCGTAATCCGACATCATGAGCTACGTCACCCGCCGAGCGCTTTCTACGCTCATCCCTCCCAAGGTGAGACTCTTCCCAAGCGGCATCCGAAATTGCCTGCGCCATAATGCTAATATGCTGTGATTAGATTGCCTCCCCTAAGGTATGAACAAAACCTACGATGATTGACGAAGAGAAAGGAGAAGGAGGAGGAGAGAAGGTTTTCTTCTTTGGATTACGCATGCCGATGTCCCCCAAACCAGCCGAGTTAATAAGACGCAAATGAGCGAGCTGCATTGCGACGAAGAATTGCGAATTCACGAATCGATCGAAGTGCGGGACCATGAATAAAACATTTAGCTAACGAATAATGCTTGATGTTAGGCAATTGGTGCTGCTCCCGATGCTCTGCGCATGCAGCGTGTCGTGAGCTTCTACGAGAAGCTCCCCCGGGGTGCCGCTCCCGAGATCAAGGGCAAGGGTCTTCTCGGCCGCTACCAGGCCAAGTACTTTGGCAAGAACCCATCTGCTACGCGTATGATATAACCAAGATCTAAAAACATCCCGGCTTTGAAATACAAAATTGGCTAACTTGCTTCGGACCTGTAGCTATTGTGCACGCCCTGCTTTTCCTCATCGGCATTGGCTACGCCCAGAACTATTACTTCCACCTGCGTACGTATTTGAGGCTGTTGATTTTCCGTGACATTCTTGCTAACGCTGTCTAATATATATCTAGGCCACCACAAGAACAATGCGCACTAAAGTACTACGGATGGTTTGTTGAAGCCTCTCTCTCGACAAAAAAAAAACGATGAGCGGCTATGTAAATAGACTTTAGAACGGTGTTGTCATAGACACACTTGGGCTCCCTTATGTACTATCAGACACGCATTGAATACCTGTTTCTCCGACAAATCTAAAGTGATGCGCAAAACTATGTTGATTTGTTTACATTGTTACTCTCTTTTCCCCGCCTGTCCTTTCACACTGTCGCCCGTAAAGTTTCATAGCGCATTACCAAGTGTGAATGAGCATAATGGTACATGTAGTAGACTGATATAACGGCGAGAGGTTTTCTTAGATCAAAACATTACTCTATGCCCTCAAAGGATGCCAAGGCACTAGTACATATGACTGATAATAGATCGTCAGACTCAGCTGGCGAACGCACCTAGAATATAAAAGGCATGCTATGCATGAGTCACTACAAGGAGGATCTGCTGATGCTGACTGGCCGCCTGACTGACAACCGCCAGAGAAACAGCTAAGTTAAAGGCGTTCGTGCATTCATACAATGAAGTCTGTTACAATCAAGATCGTTTACGATGGGATCACTCTACCCCAAAGAGAGGCCTTCAACTTCTATTTGAGCATTATAACAAGTAATGGTAATAGGCTTTGAGAATGACGTGCAAAAGTTAAAGGCCACTGTGTAGCGGCTGTAAACCCTCCTAAAACAGCACCCGTATGGGGGCACTATAGATCTTGAACAGGCGCCATTGCACCTAAACAACTTGCCATGCTAAGCCTCTTTGGGTGGCACAGCGCTGTGAACAGCGGCGCACGGGCCCCTCCACCCAGGCCAAACTTTCCCACTCAGCGCTAGGCCATAACAGGCTCCTGCAGCTTCAAAATCAGGTCGCCTTCCACCTCACCTTCGCTATTCCAGACACATCGCAGCCGAGTTTCTCAACACCGGTCACTGCTCTGACGACTCCTTCCAAGCAACACCGAACCTCATTGCGAGGCCCAGGAAGAGAGTATTGACCCCGAAACCTCCGCTGTACTCGTCACCGCCACCGCCGTCCGCCCATCGCTACTGCCAGCTTCGTTCGCGATTCCGCAACCCCCCTCCTCCTCTCTTCTCCTCCTCCTCTACCTTCCTTTGTCGATATCGCGTTGCGGCCTTGCCTGTAGTCTGCGTTGTTCAAGACAGACGAGCACACACAAAGGCTTTTTAATTAAGTCGAATATTTGAAGGAGCGACTTGATTCTAGGCCCTAGAAAAAGAGAGAGTTCGCTTCCTTACGGCTCCTACTGGCGCACACCTGCCACAACGACGGATGATGGCCGCTGAGCCCTCCACCGACAATTCAGCTGATGTGTTTGCCTCGACTGAATCACAACCTGTGAGGCGCTTTCTTCTTCCTCTTTTTTACTTTTCAATCGGGAGACCAAACGTCATCTCTGCGGTGACGTTGGCGCAGGCTTTATCTTTTTGGTTCTTCTAGGTGTAACGGCACCATGCTCTTGAAATATGCTAACAATGTGTTCCTTGAGTCGCAGGCCACCGACTCTCAACATGGCGAACCGGTACCGCCAGCTGCAAACGGAGGCTCCCCTCTCCCTGAAGACATCGCCAATAAGCGGATTACGAGTGTCGAAGACCAGATCAATTCTGCCGACGTTAGTGTGAGCGGGGGATCAGATACAGAGGCATCGCGCGCAAAGGATGGGGACAAGGGCCAGGTCCGCGCTGGGGCCTCCACGAAAAAGCCTGCGACATTCAAAGCTGTTTCTGTCAACAAGACCTTCCTCGCCTCCAAAGCGAACCCAAATGTCTCATCCAAGACCAGCGACAAGCCAGCCGCGGGCTCTAGTACCCCGCCGACTGGCTCCGCCACCTTGTCCATATCACGACCACGTTTAGTTGCCAAATCAGGGAGTGGTACGGGGAACTCAACTCCAAGGTTCTCGTCACTGACGAATGGCGGAAAGCCGGCGGCTGCACCTGACCCGAGTGTTGTGTGGAATAAAAACAGGCGTAGGTCACCCAACACGAGAGAAAAAGATTTCTCTTTTGGTGCTAATTCATTGGTTCAACATATGCTTACATTTTTGTCTTTTCCTTCTAGCTACACCTGTCCCAGAACCAAAAAAGTTGACAGATGAAGAGCTCAAAAAGTATGGAATTCACATGGCTAGTCGCCTAAATGAAGACGATACACAGGGCCAAAATAAGTGGGCAGATATTGACGACGACGACGATGATTGGGAGCCCGAAGCGATAACTTGGGGAGACGGCACCAAAACAACTCTCCCCCATCCTGATGAGGTCTCGACACAGGCACCAGAGCGTGCACCAGATTCGGCCAAGACTTCTGTCCAGGATAGGCCACCCTCTCCGGCACCGCCAGGCGTGGCAAATATTACACCATTGCCAAAGTCAGGAGGACTTCCGTCTGGGAAAGGGCTAGTGCTCAAGAGTGCTGCTCAGGAAAAGCCAGTTCTAGTTGCCAAACCCCCAGCGCCACCAGCGCCCGCCAAATCTCCATGGGCTACTCTGCCCCCTATCCCGAAAGCATCGCCTGGTCTTGTAGAGTCTGCGCATCCACCACGCGGCGGCATGAAAGAGTCCCCCTACGCCTCCAACATGGGACCTCCACCTCCCAGAGATCTCATGAATGATGATTATTCACGTACCTGGAGAGATAGGCCTTCATATGGAAATAAGGAGCTTTTCAACTCTCGGTCTGGTCGATATGAACCTGTTCCTGATCGGCGCCCCTCGATGCGATCCGACTCTCAGACCAGATACCCTGCTCTATTGCAGCGTATGCCTCCGTCAGAGCACCCGGCCGAGCCTTCACCTGCATTCCAAACTAGCCGCGCGAACCAAGAAGTCCCATTTGGACGACGTAGGGGTTCGTCCAATGTCAGCGGCGGCAGCGGATCGTATCTTCAGCGCATCGGTAAGGGAGGCGATGGCTCTATGCCGCCGCCCCCTGATTTTCTCGGCGTCCGTAGAGGCTCTTTAAGTGGCTCTGTAATAGAGAGCCCGGTTTCTCCAGTGGCGGCATCTGTGATGAGTCAAGGACAATCAAGACACCAGCCCTCGCACGATATGGATTCTCGGCCGTCTCCCGGGACAACGTATGCTGGTCCTCACCATGGGAACCCACATGCTGAGATAAACAACGGGCCTGCTCCTCACCAGCTTGAAGACGATATTGAATATCAAAAGAAACTGATGCGTGAGGGTGTCGAGCTCGCTAGAAAACGCCGACTAGAGGAAGAGGCTCGCGAAGAAGCTGCACGCCGAGAGCGTATACAAAAGAAACTCGACGCCCTTGGACCTCCTCCCGAAAAGAAGAGCGAAGTGAAAGATGTGCCCAAGGACCGTGAGGTGAACCAGCACTCGGTATCTGGCCCGCCTGCCGAAAACCCGTCTGCGGTTGAGAATCCTCCAAGCCAAGCGGATTCTAGTAAAGATGGCACAGTCACTATAACCCGTATTGAAAAGCCCGCATTCAGCCAGAAAGACATTCCATCGGCGAACGTCGTCCCACATGGCCCGACACCCAGGCGGCTCTCACACAGCCAAGCCACAGAATCTTCCAATGTCTGGGGAAGTTCTGCACCTCGGCCAGATCGGCTCGCATCATGGAATTCGGGGGCACAACGAAATGTCTGGAGCTCTCCGGACAACAACAACGGGCTTGGGAACGGCACGTTCAATCCCATTATCGGCCGCACGCCTGCTCAACCAGTCTCAACCCCCAGCGCACCTGTTCCTATTGGCCCTCCTACTATTGCGCAATCATCTTCTCATAATCGAAACCAGGTCCCATCAGTAATTGGCTCACGTGCTAGTCGGTATTCAAATCTAAGTAACGACATTACGAGCAAATGGGTGACGGCCGTGGCTGAAAACGACAAAAAAATAAGTGCGACGAAGATGGCTGAACGGGTAGGGCGTGACCGTCAGCTGGCCGAACGTGGAGCTACAGCGGAAGATGTTCAACCCACAATCAAAGATACTTGGCGCCCAGTTCATAATCCTGGCGATGGAACCAGACACGTCGTGGGCTCTACTGAAGGGAAGCCTAACATCACGGACCCATGGAAAGTCTCGCGAGACGATCTCACCAGGGGCGCTTCTTCTGCAGATGACCCCATCTTGGGAGGCCAACCTACAGTTATTGGTAGTGGAGGTAGTGGCTCTGTTTTGCCTCCGAATGGCCCAACAACTCCTCAATCGCGACCCTCTCGCTTCTTCCCTGCCAGAGATGTCCGTATGGAGATTGGCATGGCTGAACCACTACGACCGTCTTCGCCATCTCCTCCGCCGCCAACAATGGAGGGCCACCCGGCATACGAAGGGGACACCACACGCCCGCATGTCTCACTGCCGAAGCCGCTACCAGTAGTCAAACTACCCCCTGCTATGGCTGCCGCTCAGGCATCTCAACCAAAGCCGATTAACACATGGGCCAGCCGTGCGGCTGCTAGAGAAATTTCTCGCGCTCCTGTCCATCAGGGTCACTCTATGCGACGACCTTCTGAGACGTCACATGAAAACTGGCAAGATAAAATCAATAATCTTTTAAACGGCGGGAAAACATCTCCCCAAAAACATATGGGAGTAGATCCTGCTAGTCGGCATGCGCTAGATCATACGACTACCCAGACTTCCACAACTGTATCTCTGCCTTTTGTATCGGTACAACAATCAGCGGGAATTCCACAATCATTAACCTCAAAACCAATGGCAGAAGAATGCTTTGAAGAGCAGGAAATGGGCTCTCTTCCACAGATCAGACTCCCACACAAGGCACCAGAAGCAGCGTGGCAACCTGCAGCAGGCGTAAAGTCAATGCCCAAGAGATTTTTCGTACAGCCGACTGTTATGGAGCCATATTATTTTGCCTCCGAGGTTGTTGGTGGCGGAAACGCTGTACGGATTTACTTCCCAGGGATGAGTGAACCTAAGGTGGCCACTATCCCCTTTTCTGCGGCCAGGGGCGGACGAGGAAGCCATCGTCCGTCATCACGACATCGAGGCGGTGGTCACGGATCTCGTGGAGGTCCTAGTGGCGGAGGCAGCGGCAATGGGAATGGGAATGGCAGCGGCGGAAACGGCAATGGTAGCAATAAGAGGGAATTCGCGAGTAGCTACGGGGATTCAACGACCTCAAATAGCTCTGGTCGTGGCGGCCGCGGCGGGTACCGCAGTCGCGGATCTGATACCTGGAGTCGATATTCCCGCGATCAAGCTGCCTAGCTGAACGACTCACAGACACCCTTGTTCACCTTCTTGGGAGGCCCGGGTCTGGCCTTTACAGACCAGTAACATAACGGCACATTAACTTATTTTTGATTGTCCTCAGTTTGTTGGGGCACCGTACGACATCTTGAACTTTCTTACAATTAACGAACGAAGCTGAGAGATAATTTTTTTTTACTACTCGTCGTCTCTGTGTACACTGGACTCAGCCGTCTCAGATAGCACAGGGGCAAATGTGTACAATTTCAACACGCGTTATTTTTGACGTATTTGGTTGCGCATTGGTTTTCTGAAAGGTATTAACCAGTGTTCTTCAAGGCATTGCGAACGGATAAGGGAACAGAGACAAAGGAAAGGATAAGAGAGAGAGAGAGAGAGAGAGAGAGAGAGAGAGAGAAAGAGAGATGATCTCCCGTCTGAATTAAGGCTTGTTAATTTGAGCCAGATTTTCATTTCTGTATTTGCCAGTCACTGGCTACTGCCTACCGGTTCTCTAAGGGAAGAGGCATTGTCTACAGGAGCAACGTGGATTGAGAGAAAGCAAACAAGCAATTTTCGCATTCTCACGCTCGCAGTACAGCCTTCCATGATTATTACGACCCAAAAAAACTCTTTTGTGCGATCTTTGGCCTCGTACCAGTTTGGTAGGGTGTCACTGGTATAACTGTACAAGTACAAATATGGAATACGGTGTCCTGGGCATACCTTGAGCCCGACCCCTCTAGCTACTATTAATGAACTGACGGACGTTTGGGCTTTGGAAAGCTTGCGGAGCAGGCTTCTGGCGATTTGAAGGCCCTCATCACCTTTTTTGAGATGGAAAGGGGAGGGATAAATGGGGAAACAAGGTGCTCGTTCACATTGACGTGAAGTAGTGCAATATTCTACAGAAAATATGCCAAATGTGTTGAACTTTTTTTCTGCTCATTACAACTTGTTTCCTCTCGCCGTGCCTTATCAATTTGGTTTAGTGAGATGATGTGGTTTTATTATTTCTCGTAGATCCTGGTTTAGTGAGATGATGTGGTTTTATTATTTCTCGTAGATCCAATATGTGTTTTTTTTTCTATCGTGTCATTACGTTAATGCATCCATGCATCCATGCAGCCATCCAACATCCCTTGACATCTAGTCATTTTTATATACGCATTCCTTCCAACTCCCAAACTCCCTCGGTACTTGGTTTCGGTACTTGGTATATCATTTTATTACTGTTTCTCCCTCTTCATCATGCTTACTTAGTCTAAATCTCTTCAACCGCGCAGTTGGGGTGCAGAACATAGACGACATTTGCTGGTGTAGCTGACGGGCCAGCGCCATCTGTAAGGCCTTCGCCTCTGAGCGCCATGAGGATATTGTCCTAGTAAATTGTTAGATCATGTTATACAGTACCATGATAATGGGAATAAAAACTCACCTTGACCATCTTTCTTAGAACCATATTCGCCAGTGTCTTCTCCCTGTGGTAGTCCTCTTCTCCATCCATCTCCTCTTCCTTCTGCTCCAGGTACCAGTTGATAAGAACGCTGCCCTCGACGCCGTCGCCGATGCCAGCCTCGTCCTCATTGACCCTTTGGACAAACATGTTCATCATAGAGACATACATGTCATAAGTGATTGTGTGCTTCCTCCTGGCAGGGGCGATTTGCTCTGTGCCATCTTGGCCCTCTTCCGCCATGGCAGCATCGCCTTCGTGGTCTTCCGTAGGGGTGACTCCAGAGGCCGTATCAGCAGCGCGACGGAGTGTCTCACTGTCTTCCTGAGTATCATCCGTCTCCTCCATTTCGACATCATCGTGCTCAACAGAGATGATACTTTGGCGCAGGAGGTTGAACGCTTCGATGACCATTGTAGGAGTAATATCTTCAACGCAGTTGACCTTGGCAATAGCCTCAGACAGACGAATCATACTCTCCAACTGACGAACCGTAATTCTGTAAGAGTTCTTGCCAGCGCCACCCTGGGCGTCGTCAGCTCGGAGTTCTTTGTACTTTTCAACAAGGCATTCCCTCGCCTCATCTGTAAACTCAGGGCGGAATGTCCTTGCAAAGCGGATATATCGCTGCAGTTGCTCGGTGCTGAACTCAGGAGTGATAGCCTCATCGCGGCGCTGGTGGACTCTAACAATATGCTCAGATAGATGGCGGTCGAATGACTCGGAGCACTCATCCAACACTACGAAGAACAGATCAAAACGGGACATGATAGGCGCTGACATGTTGATGTTGGCGCGGAGAGTGGTTTTGCGGTTATAGCGACCTCCAACCGGATTTGCCGCAGCCAGGATACTGGTGCGCGCATTGAGTGTTGCTTGAATACCGGCCTTGGCAATAGAAATTGTTTGCTGTTCCATGGCTTCGTGGATAGCAACCTGATCAACAATATCCATTTTGTCAAACTCGTCAATGGCGCAAATACCATTATCCGCCAGCATAAGTGCTCCGGCCTCGATGGTAAACTCTCCTGTCTCCTCATCCTTGACAACGGCAGCTGTTAAACCAGCGGCAGACGAGGCTTTACCACTAGTGTACACTGCACGTGGTGCAAAAGAGCATACGTATTTGAGGAACTGGGACTTGGATGTCGAAGGATCTCCAACAATGCAAATGTTGATATCACCTCTCAGTTGCATTCCCTCAGCGGTAGTTTTGCTGACTCCAGACATGAGTTGCAAGAGGATGCCCTTTTTGACGACTTCATGCCCATACACTGTTGGCGCAATTGAGTTGACCAGCCGCGAATATATGTGATCGCCGTGGACCATGGATCGCAGGTCCTCAATCTCTGAAGGATTCATAGACGCCAAGACTGCAGCTTGGGCTTCGTCAACCGACTCAGTACCTTCAGCACCGTTACGATTATTCGTAAGAGCATTGATAACATCCGCAGCACCACTTGCGGCAGACTGGCCAGTGGACGTGGTATCAGGCGCAACCATGCAAGCAAGGAATGCCAAGCGATAAGTCAGATCTCGAACACCAAGGGCTTTAAGTCCAGAGATACCGTTGCCGCCAACATCAGCTCCACGAGGTGCGCCGCGGTCGTCACGGACCGCTGTAGGGCGCAAACCAGGAAGACCTAGCTGACTGACATCCGGTACGACAATCAGAGCACCGGTAAAGATGCATTTTTCACCTGCTTTGGCTCGATCGACAATCTCACCTCTCATGATTACATCCATAGTACGGGGCATGCTGCCTGTGGGGATCTCGGAACTGTTTTCCTGGATGCGGACTTTTTGCCAATCGACAAATGTGCTATGCCTGATATCAAGCTGCCATGAGACACGGTTTTGACAGGTCTGGTTGGGGCATTGTGTTGGTTCGGTGTATCGAAATGTCTGCTCGACGTTGGGAACGACAGCACGGCAGGCTTCGCAAACAAAAGTAGCCAGAGACAATTCAGGTCGTACTTCTGATGTTCTGGTAACGGTGCCGGAAATAGATAGCAGCTGGCCGATGTTGGCAGCCCTCAGGCCTCGAACTCGGGAGACAAGCGGCAGGTTATAAAACGCAATGGAGAAAAGCTTGTCGGTCTGCTGATGCTCGTTCTTTCTCTGGGACAGGTCGCTCTGGGTTGCTGAACCGTACTGGCTAGCGCCAGAGGTGCTCAGCTTGCTGGAGGCGGTGGCCTGACGATGCTCGCGGAAGTATTGAGATTCATATTTGGCAATCATGTTGTGCAGCGCAGCGGTAAGAAAGGGGAGAAATCGATAGTATTGGCGTATGATACCGTCTGCAAGACTGCCGTTCTCCCAAGCGGCCAGATGCTTGTAGTCGACATAGAAGGTAGAGAGCTGGTATGTTCGCATGCCCCTAATCTGGGCAATGTAGTACTTGTTCGTTGTGGCGGCACTCGAGGGGGGGGCACCTGATGAAAGAGGATCTTCGATGAAGCTGATTCCTGGTAGTTAGCAACGGCCGCTGAAAAAACCACGTCAAACATGAAGCCTCACTTTTCGATGAAGCCCTCAAAGTGCTCCTGGACGAGGATACCAATCCGGTCCTCCACCTTGGGGATGCTGGCAGCATCTGGAATGCGCGAGCTGCGTGGAAGCTGGTCGTCCGCAAAGCCGTCAGCGTCGCCATAGTCGTCAGCTCGAGGCGTGCCCATGTTCTCTGACGGAGGACCCCGCGGCCGAGTGGATGAGGACGAGGGGAAGCCTCCAGGCCGCCTCTGCGGGGCTAAGCCGTCCGACATCATGAAGTTGGAATCGCCGGGGGTAGCCATTTTGGCCCTGAGAATTTCAATAGCAATTGGCCAGGGGCAGCTTCAGCGCGAGTGCGAATGCGAGGAGAGGCGCAATTGAAGCGATGCAGGTTGGGCCGTGCCTTGGGCGAGCTGGTGCAAAAGATTATCGGAGCCAAATTTGGAGGTGAAGTGGGCTGGATCTGGTTGGAGGGAGCAACGCGCGTGGAGCGCGTCTCAGGGGTTCCGTTTTAGGGCTAGCGCGACGCGAAATTTAATTGATTGCATTTACGTGGGACTCGAAGCTTTTGTATGAATTTATACAGTGCCTAGATGCCATGTAAGGTAGGCATGCTGCTAGTATTATAGAACACCGTGTTATGCATCGGGTCCTTGACTTTCAGTGTTGAAAAGAATATGAAAAGCTCTCAGCCAGGGTATTTTGCAAATCACTCTCTGATTTTCAAAGCATTTCTTTTCGTTCTTTCCTCCGTATGGCGGCGTCTACTCCCTCCCAATGAAGCACTCTTTTTGGTGCTAGCCACCTCATCATGCAAGCAAATGGTTTGTAGAATCCAATGGCCTAGGTACGTAATGAGGTATCAAAAAGCTCTATATACGGCTAGTCATTCATCACACTATTCAAGTAATTTAGGCACCTCCAAGCCATTGGTCTTCTGCAGTAAAGAGCGTGGGTATCATGAAACAATCGTGAAGCGTGGTGTAATTCACGGCCGTCGTGTTAACGCTCATTTCGCAATTTGGCCGTCCTCTGTATAGTATGAATGTATCTGTTGAACGAGAGAAGCAATCAGTCATCAGGTCTCCATCCATATCTGTGCATCAACTTACGCTATCTGCCACCTGGAGCCATTCCTCCACGCCTCTTAGATAAGGGTCCGACGAGGCATCAGCAAGCGTATCGTGGGACCAGACAACCATCTTGTCGAACTCAGTCACGGTGTGCATTGTTCCAACTCTAAGAGCAGATTCATCTTCTCCATCTTCGTCCACAATCATGACATCCGGCTGCTCGGCTGCGGTAGGTTCGTCGTCTTTTCGTTGGAGAACGACTCCTCGATAATTTGCTGGTAACGATGCAGTTTTCCCCTGAAGTTTCCTGCCTCGAAGATAGGCGGTTCTGGTTTCGTCTAACAGCAATGCATATATCAGAATCTACCGTCACAAACCCAAACTGTGGAGAGCTTGTGCTCACTCTCATCTACACTGGGGCTCCAATAAGCTGAGGACGGCTCGATCGACCCGGTGTGGTGGACGCGGCAAGGGAGTACATTGACGGTGCCCTGACTCTTAGTGGCTTCGTCCTTGCGAATTTCGAGCATCGGTGGCTGGGCCATGGTGAATCGTTAATTGGATGATGAATGGAACGTTGAAGGTGCTGTCCCTCGGCTCGCGTCGCATTGAAGCAAGACGCGCTACAGCTTAATTAAATCCTTATCTAATCTGAGATCTGCCGCGATCGCGGAGCATTTGCGGGCGCTAAACCAAAACCGGAGCTACTATGCGAAACACCGCCGGGTAGCTTCTTCGATCCATGATGGCGGGAGCCGTTGCTGGGATCTCAGATCGCCGGCCAGCCACCCAGTTGCACATATCGAGACAAATGGATTCTATACGTGGACTAGTAGCATCCGTAAGTCGAATCAGAAACTCAAACTCCTGTTTAAGTTTAAGCTACGGCAATACCCATGAAGTAGCTGCCATCAGCTCAGTATGGTTTATGTCATTGGTCACTATCCATGGTGACGAGATTTGTGAAGCTTCAGCGTTGCGAGGACGGCATTGGCGTCAAGCCACATATTGAGAGCCAGATCTGGGTATATATAACGTAACATGGCTGCTCTTCTCTGTTCCACAGCGGGTGGCCTCTCGTCATTGTTTATTTCCCTTTGTAAGAACACCATAGCGGGAGAAAGCTCTTATACAACATGTCAAAATTATTAAGTCAAAGCCTGGATGGATTGCGCAGCCATCTCGGGAGTCTAACATGGAACCCGACTCTCAGGGTAGCCAAGTCATCCGTTTTATCCATTTTGTCTCAGATACAAATCGGCACTCTGTTACTCGTCGACGAATCGGACCATACCAACAATGTCTTTGGACAGAAAGATGTCGAAGCTGTAGATAACATAAGTAGGGTCGCTTGGTCTCGAAGTCGGATCAACAACGCACCTCTTGCTAAAATTGTAATCAAGAGCGCGGAGTTTTGGATGCGACTTTTCTTATTCGCCGACATGGGGTTTGCCGAAGCTTATATGCTTAAGGATTTTGAATGTCAAGATTTGACTTCCTTCTTTCAGGTAAAATCTTTACTCAAAATTTGACAATTTGTTGCCATTTACTTATTGTGAGATTTACAGTTGTTTATCATGAATCGCAAACAGCTGAATAACGGCACTACGTGGTTTTCTCAGCTCTCGTCCGTTGTGTCTAATCTGGCCCGATCTACAAATACTCTTTCCAATGCTCTCCTCAATGTTTCCGCGCACTACGACATTAGCAACGATATGTTTGCAGCGTTCCTGTCCCCAGATATGACTTATTCATGCCCAATCTGGGATTGCAGTCAATCAGACGACGATGAGCCGTTGGAATCTGCGCAGCTGCGGAAGCTCACCTACTTCATTGAAGGTGCAAGAATACAGCCTAGCGATCATGTTTTGGAAATTGGCACTGGCTGGGGCTCATTTGCCATTGAAGCAGTGAAGAAAACTGGTTGCCGAGTGACAACCATTACTCTGTCCACTGAGCAGAAAGCCATGGCAGAGAAGAGAATTGAAGAAGCTGGATTGGGCGACAGGATCGAGGTTAGACTCCAGGATTATCGAGAATTACCAGTTCCAATGGTGCCTTACGATAAAATCATTTCTATAGAGATGTTGGAAGCTGTAGGGCAGGATTATCTCGCCAACTACTTCAACTGCGTACACCAATTACTCAAGCCCAATGGAGGCATCGCCATAATTCAGTGTATTACAATGCCCGAAGGTCGCCATGAAGCGTACTCAAAGTCTCAAGAGTAGGTATTAACTGGACTATCCTGAATTTGCAAGCTTGCTAACGGCTCTAGTTTTATCAACCAATACATTTTCCCCGGCGGCTACCTCCCATCCATTACCCAGGTCCTGAACCACATCAGCTGTCAATCTCAGGGATCTCTCATCATTGAAAAGGTAGATAATATTGGCGGCCATTATGCCAAAACGCTCCGACTTTGGAGAGAAATCTTCTTGGGTAGATTTGAGGAAACCATTCGACCTGCGTTGCTCAGAGAACATCCTGATATGACCAAGGAAGCCATCCAAGTTTTCCGCAGGAAATGGGAGGTAAGAAAGGACACCTTTTGGATTCCTGATTTCTAGTTGTTGGCTTGACCAGATGTAGTATTATTTCTCATACTGCGAAGCCGGCTTTCTCACCAAAACGCTAGGTGATGCTATCATCACAGTCGCGCGCGAGGGTTCATCGGAATTGATGGACAGAATTCCTTTGTAAGATCTAGAGACAGTTGTGTCTATCATGACTTCTTTTTGTTCTTCTTTTTCGAACGAGACGCGCTGGTGTTGGTTGTCTGTTTTGGAGTATATCGGTTCATGTTGTCCATGTCAAAGCCAGATTTGTGCTTTCGAAATAAGAGCATAGTAGCTCGAGCATCCTCCGTGCTAGAGTGCGGACCACTTTGAATCTCAATACCAAGAATTTCTCTAGCAAGAACTTTCAGTGCCGGCTTTCGCCCATGGCCATACTTTTTGAAGGCCGGATATTTGGCGGTGTCGCGAATATTCCTTGGAGAATGGCTGAGTTTGAGGGCTTCCAAGTCATGCTTGATATCGTGACCAATCAGAATCCTGTCTTTGATGATGTCGTCGACTTCTTTTTGAACTTCGCTGAAATCTCGTGCGAATCTCATCTCTTTTTGAGAGATTCCGCTCACGGCCGTTCTCCAGTTGGTTACACGCTCGACCGGCTTCACATATGAATCGTAGATTTGTCGTCCGTGAAAATCAACAGCGCTAATACGCGCCAGCGCTGATTCATGCCCGCCCGGTCCGACTCCCACCATCTCGCAGTCGATGGCGACATATTTTCCAATCTCGACTCCACTAGAAAGGCCGTGGTTTACTTTGTCTTTCTCAGGCCCGAGCATCATCGAATTGCCTTTCACTCCAAGGCCATAGGCCTCTGCCAGCTCCTCGGTTGAGACCTCATGATCCTTGGCCCATATTGCCAGTGATGGAGATGGATTCTGCTTGGGCTTGTCTACCGCGGCTGAGCTTTGGACACCGCCCATTCTATGAGTAACTGCCTTCTTCTTGCGACTTGATGGAACACTGCTATTACTCTCAGATTTCCCAGCAGATTTTCTTTTCGCTGAGGATTGTAGCTGCTCTTCAGTCTTTCGTTTCAAAGGCGGCTGGGAAGCCGCCCCGGCCTTCAATCGCGCTTGAAGGATTTTCCAGTTGGAAGATAGTTCGGCCATCCTTGAAGATATAGGCCGGAGGAGCTTTCTAATGAAAAAGAAACCGCATCATGTGTTAGTTAGTCAAAATAACTGAAGTAGATTTTACTCTTGAAATTGAGCCTGGGTCTAATAGTGAAGTTTGTAAGAAGCAATCTGAGTCAACTATGAGAGTTAGTGCTATAAGCGTGCTTTGTGACTTTGGGAGTTAACGCTGTACTGAGGAAAGGCCTCCCACCGCCTTGCGATAAAAGATAAAGCTAAGCTAAAAGCGTATGACGCTTTTAATAGGTCATCTTATTCTGCCAGGCCCCTCGCATCGCATTCTCGATTTCCATCCAACTTTCATCAATCATCAACTCTACGCACATTGATAACGTTTCCATCATGGCTGGCGGCACCCCGCATGGCGAGCCATCTGTCGGCTCCGACACGCCGCGCCAGAAAGGCAAGGCGACGCCGGAGACGCTGAAGATGGGCTGCATTGCCTGGGTCGAGAAGGATGGCCAGCCGCGACGAGCCGAAATTCTGAGCATTAAAGAAACGAAGTCTGGGAAGCATTTCTACTGCAATTTCGACAATTTCAACAAGCGTTTGGACGAATGGGTGCCGGTTGCGAGGATCGATTTCTCACAGGACGTCGAATGGCCGAATCCCGAAAAAGACAAGCCAAAGGATTCCAAGACCAAGAAAGCTCCATCAGTTCAGCCGAAGAAGTCGCAAGTATCGAAGAAGGCGCAAAAGCGACCCGGGAAGCGCGAACAATCAGTTAATAGCGAAGCTACAACACCACATCCATGGACGGGTAAGTTCTGATAATCATATACCGCGACATGGGCGCTTTAGGCGGCCGCTCATGAATGGCGTTGACTGATTGAATCGCACCAACAGATCCAAACGAGTTGCAAAGCCAGCGAAAATCATCCTCAGTCGGGCCGGAAGCAGATTCACAACCAAACGTCAGTTTTATTGAAGCGAGCGCAACGCCAGGCGCAGGAGATGACCTGCTCGGCGATGAAAAAGAAGAGGAGGACAGGAAAGAGGACCATGGTTTTAGTCGAGAGGAAGAGATTGAAAAACTGCGCACTTCGGGTTCGATGACTCAAAACCCAGCCGAAATATCTCGAATCAGAAATATATCAAAAGTCCAGTTTGGGAAGCACGACTTATTCCCATGGTACTTCTCGCCTTATCCAGAGAGTTTTGGGGCAGAAGATATGATATATATCTGTGAATTTTGTCTCAGCTACTATGGAGATGAAGTAGCGTTCACACGACACCGAAAGAAGTGCACGTTGCAGCACCCACCGGGCAACGAGATCTACCGAGATGACTACGTCTCCTTTTTCGAGATTGATGGACGGCGACAGCGGACCTGGTGTCGCAATCTGTGTCTCTTATCCAAGATGTTTCTCGACCACAAGACTCTCTACTACGATGTAGATCCCTTCTTGTTCTACGTGATGACGACGCGAACAGATAAAGGTTTCCATGTTGTAGGATACTTTTCCAAAGAGAAGGAAAGCGCTGATGCATACAATGTGGCTTGTATTCTGACGCTACCACAATATCAGCGGAAAGGATACGGCCGTCTCCTGATTCAGTTCTCATATGAGCTGTCCAAGATTGAAGGCAAACTGGGTTCTCCCGAGAAGCCCCTATCTGATCTTGGTCTTCTTAGTTACCGTCAGTATTGGTCTGAAAACATTTTGGATATACTACTGGGCTACAATGAGCGGGATGAGAAGGCGACGATTGAAGCCATCTCGACATCTCTCGCAATGACGACGCAGGATGTGGAACATACACTGCAAGCCATGAAAATGCAAGTTTATCACAAGAGCGATCACAAAATTGTGATACCGGAGAAACTTATTGAGCAGCGGGAAAAGCAAAAGCTGAAGCGGAAGAGGGTTCTCGATCCCCAGAAGATTCAGTGGAAGCCACCAGTGTTTACAGCATCAAGCCGTACGTGGGGTTGGTGATGTAAGTGTTGGTTTGGCAGCAGATATGATATAATATGATTGTATGGGTAGTGTTTATGGGAGTTTTTGGGGTACACAGGCGCTTAGTAGGTGTTTTGTTGATAGCTTTTGTCTGTACTGAGCGCAATGGAGGTCTCCATCTTTTTTTCCCTGTCAAAAGTTACTCTTAGATTGATGATACCCTCAACTCAAAATACATTAACCAAATGCTGGTTTCTCTCCAATTAAAGATTTATCTGAAGTACAATCATCTCTAATGACGTAGGGAAGCTGATGATTTCCGAGAGCGGCAATGCAGCTAATAGAGCTGTCTAGCTCTGGGGGCGATAGTGCCATAGTGGGGGTTTCTGTAGTGCATGCAGGACCATTATTGCAGCAAGCTGTCAGCCAGAGTCTCTACACCTACCACTGCGCAGATACGAAGTGGACATTCTTCCCGAGCCTCCATCCACAGCACTTGGAATTGGACGAGGGAGACGTCGCATTGGCGATTTGCCTGTACTTCCACCAGAGGCCGGCATGTCTCTCCAGCTCTTCGCAGCCGCATTGCTGGGCTTCGGCGCAGTGACGCCGGTGCTTGGCCGGGACGACTCGCAGGTTCCGCTGCCCAACTACGCCGACTTCTGTCCTGATTATGCGCTCTACTCTACATATCGGCAGTTTGTTCCAGCCCATGTGTCCCCTTCATGATACCATATGAGCGTTAAGGCCTGACCAAAAATGCAGCCGTCCCTTCAGCACTGGCCCGCTGGCCTTGCCTTACCAGCGGCCAAATCCACAATGCCGAACATTCCAATCGGACGAAATCGAGAGAGTCATCAAAGAAGTGACAGATAGAATCAAGGATCCAGATCTGGCACGCCTTTTCGAAAACACATTCCCCTCTACGACGGATACCACCGTAAAGTTCCATACCAATGGCGAGAAGGAAACGGCGTTTGTCCGTCTCGATGGCCGGCGACAAGACGACGGCGCATGGGAGGGACCCCAGTCGTTTATCATCACAGGAGACATCATTGCAGAGTGGCTGCGTGACTCGACAAACCAACTACGGCCCTACCAGGCTCTGGCCAAGAAGGATCCCGCCATCTTCAGCTTGATCCTCGGTGCGATCAACACGCAGTCCGAGTATGTCATTCAGTCGCCGTACTGCAATGCGTTCCAGCCACCTCCCATCAGTGAACTATCCGTCTCTGCCAATGGTCAAGACGATTTGGTGCATCCGGCGTACGAGCCCAGTGTGGTGTTTGAGTGTAAATACGAGCTCGATTCGCTGGCGCATTTTATGGCGCTGGGAAATGACTTTTACGACCACACCGGGTCGACTGACTTTGTGAATAAACGGTGGCTCCTTGCCGTTGACACTCTGTTGGGGGTGTTGAAGCAGCAATCGCAGCCGACGTTTGATCCAGAATCGAACCAATATGAAAGAAACATTTACACTTTCCAGCGATGGACCAATACTGGCACTGAGACTCTCAATCTACAAGGCGTCGGAAACCCGCTGAATAGCGAGACGGGCCTGGTTCGCTCAGCGTTCAGGCCAAGTGACGATGCTACTATCCTAGGCTTCTTCATTCCGGCAAATGCCATGATGTCTGTAGAGCTTGGTCGGGCTGCCAAGGTGCTACAGGCTGCTGGTAAGAAGACACTGGCTGACAAGCTGGCCAAGTGGAGCGAGCAGCTTCGCGCTGGAGTTCTGGAGCATGGTGTTATTAAGCACAAGAAATACGGCGACGTATTCGCCTATGAAGTTGACGGATATGGCTCTTCCATCTTGATGGATGATGCCAACTACCCCTCACTTCTTGCTCTTCCAGTGATGGGATTCTGTGATGTAAATGACCCGATATATCAAAACACAAGGAAGATGCTGTTGGAAAAGAAGGGCAACCCTTACTATTTGAAGGGCAAAGGTTTCCAAGGAATCGGAGGTATGTTATCACATGGAGCCCTAGCAGTGAACAAGACAACAACGACGTTCTAACACATCTTTTTAGGTCCTCACATTGGCTTGGAAAATGCATGGCCCATGAGCCTGCTGCTCCAGGCCCAGACTTCAAACGACGACAAGGAGATCAAGGCATGTATCGACTTGGTATTGAAAGCATCCCCTCGAGGCCTCATTCATGAGAGCGTGGATGTCAATTACGTGAACCAGTACACGCGAAGCTGGTTTGCCTGGGCGAACGGCGTCTTTGCTGTGACGATTTTGGATTTGGCGAAGCGGAAACCGCACTTGGTGTTTGGGCCGGGAGCTGAGCCGTATGAGATTTAAGCAAACTGAGTGAATTGAGTAAATAAGATTCTTTATGTAAAAATGTTCAAACTCATTAGAAAACAACGACTCCTTCAGAGTTATTGGGTTGGGCAAATCCCACGCTAACACTTGCTTGCATTGAGCTTCAACTGTTGACTCCACAATTTAGCCTTCTCCAAATAGATAGATAAGCCTGTGAGCCATCGCAACTGACGTACAAGCAAACCTCGCTAGTTCGGTAGGAAGTGCGCTGATATTACTGATACTACTTGACTAGTAGTAAGACTTCCCATCTCTATTGTGAACGAGTCCCCTCATCATCGCCGTTTCCACGAGCTAGAGCTAGACTTACCCCAGACTATGCGCCCTTTGCATGGCATCTTCCGACTTCAGGCACGCCCTCCACTAACACAAGCCCGTCCCTACAAGTCCCACAGCAGCCAGCAGCTCTCATTGAGATTAATAGCTCCAAACAGCACCCAGAGATTCACTTCCTTGCGACACTTAACAACGACATCCACCGCCACCATGTCCAGCTCAGACGCTCCTCCAGCAGCAAAGCCAAAGCAAATCAACTTATTGCGTGGATGGCCCTCACCACATCTCCTCCCCGCAGACCTCCTCTCAGCAGCCTGCCAGCGCGTCCTGGCCGATCCCGTCGAGAGCGTCCCCATCCTGCAATACGCCCCTGACCCGGGCTACCAGCCGCTGAGGGAGAGGTTGGCCCAGTGGCTCGGCCAGCATTACGGCGTTGAGCCAGATGCCAATCGCATTTGCATCACTGGCGGCGCAAGCCAGAACCTGGCCTGCATCCTCCAGAGCTTCACGGATCCGCATTACACCCGGGCGGTGTGGATGGTTGCGCCTTGCTACCACTTGTCGTTTGGCATGTTTGAGGACGCGGGCTTTGCGGGAAGACTGAGAGCGGCGCCGGAGGATGATGAGGGGCTTGATGTTGAGGAGCTGGAGAGGAGGTTGGCCGCTTGGGAGAGCGCAGAGAAGCTCCAGTCGCATCAGGAGGTAAGTGCAGAATTATTCCCCGTATGAATTATCAGACTTTGGCATGTGTTTTCGATCCAGTTTGTTGTAGTAAATTTGCAGCAGTAGAGCTGAAACTTTCTCTTTTCAATTCCCGCTTCTTAGCCTAAGCCATTCAAAAATCCTGGCCCGTATAGAAAGCTTTATAGGCACATCATCTACGTTGTGCCGACATGTTCCAACCCGTCAGGGAAGACACTCTCAGTCCAGCGACGCGAGAGCCTCGTCAAACTAGCTCGAAAGCACGATGCTCTCGTTGTCTGCGACGACGTCTATGAGTTCTTGCAGTGGCCGCTCGAGGGGCCTACTACTGCTGAACGGCCGCCAGAGATGAGGCTCCCCCGGCTGTGCGATATCGACTTGTCACTGGGTCGGGCGGAGAACGATCCTCAAGGCTTTGGACATACAGTGAGCAATGGATCCTTTAGCAAGATTGCGGGACCAGGTGTCCGGACGGGATGGGCAGAGGGCACTCCAGCATTTGCTTTAGGACTATCCAAGACGGCATCTTCCATGTCTGGCGGTGCTCCAAGCCAGCTCTGCGCCGCGATGCTGGCCGATTTGCTTCGGACTGGCGAGCTGGCCAACTTCATCGACACAAAGACCCGGCCGGCATTACAGAGGCGACATAGGCTTATGGTGGACGCTGTAAATCAGTACTTGGCGCCTCTTGGTGTTGTATCACAGGAATCCAGCATCCAGGGCCAGAGCGTTTATGGTGGCTATTTCGTATGGCTTACACTAACCCAGGGGCCCCCAGGACTGTTGGTCTCAGATGCTGCGTTGAGAGAGGAGAACATCGTCCTTGGAAGAGGAAACATGTTTGCGGTTCGCGGGGACGAAGAAGGCGCGAAATTTGACAATGCGATCAGACTCTGCTTCTCCTGGGAACCTGAAGAGGCGCTCATCGATGGCGTCCGGAGGCTTGGGCTCCTGTTACAACGGATGCAGGCGAACATCGGTTATTATGAGAAATTAGTAGCGGGAGTCACAGACGGTGATCGTCCGGTCAGTAGTTGGGTGTAATGTTGAACCCATATGAAAAACAATATATGAATTATTATATATCAATGTAGATGTATGGCACATTAGCTCTGCTCTGTTCCTGGCATGTTACTTCTTTGAGAAGAATGACATGATGTTGCCTTGACTTCCGCTCTTCGCGGCGGGCGCTGCCTTCTTTGATTTCTGTGTTGAGGAAGCGGGTGTCGCCGTAGGCGTCGGCTTCGTGGGTGGTGGAGGAGCTTCATCTTCCGAGAAAGACTCCCATGCAGCCTCCTGGATAGTTACTGTCCATAGATTTAGCCACGTACTGACACAAGTATGGTCAAGCAAACATGATCAAGAACTTACCCATATATCCCTGGTCATCCAATATGCGCTTCTTTTTCATAACTCGCCGCTTACCTCTCCGACGACCGTTACTGGAATTCGATATCACTTCTGCAGGTTCTTTATCCTCTTTAGGCTGTTCAGGTTCAGGCTCCGGTTCAGGTTCCGGCTCAGAGGCCTCTTCCATTTCCTCATCTGATTGCTCATCTTCCTTTTTGGCCTCTTCCTTTTCCTCGGCTTCGTCTTCAGGATCCTCCATCATACGTAGGAGCTGCTCTTCACGCTCCTTTCTTGTCCGTTTCAATGCTTCCAAGTCTATTGACTTGGACCCGGGTAGATCCTCTTCGTCAGCTTCACCATCATCAGATAATGCCATGCTGGTATCTTCATCCTTGGGCTTAGCCTCAGGCTTAGGCTTGGGAGGCTTCGCCGCCGCCCTAGCAAAGGACTGCATGATACCTCCAGAAGAGCCTCTTTTTAGCGACGCAGGAGGTTTCTTCCCAGCACTCGATGATGGAGTAGAATCGGCAGACGGTGCTTCTTTAGTCTCTTGTTTAACCCTTTCCGCTTGACTAGGTTTGGGCGCAGCCGATTGTGTCTCCTGCTTGGTAGCTTTAGGTGCGCTTGGGATAGAGACCGGGACAGAGACCGGGACTGAAGGTGGTGGACGGCCCTTGCGGCCCTTCTTGCGGGCTTTGGGGTTCGCGATTAATCCATAGGTTTCCAGCATTTTCGCAGCATCTTCAACCTTTCTATACTCAGACAGCGATTTTGTAACGTCGGACAGCTGCGCCAAGTCTCTCTGAGGGAAGGGGGCCAGGCTGTAAACATGCATCGATGTGACCTGTTCATATTCGGCCAATGCATCTAAGTAGACTATTAGCAAACCCAGCAGCTGTTTTCTCTTGACATGACCAGACCTTTTAAGCCTTCTTCCGCTACTATGGTAACCGTCTTGGTGGGTGCATAGTCAGAGAGGGGTTCAGGTTCAGGTGCTGAGCCGTCCATCTCAGCATCGCCAGTCTCTGGCTCTCGGTCTTCCGTTTTAGAGCCATAGATGAGGTAGGTGGCATGAACCGAGTTTGCTTTAGAAGCATTCTGGATTTCATAAAATTCATATAGCTTTCTGAAATACTAATCAGTAAACATTTAAGAACAAAAAACAAGAGGACTAAATTTACTGTTTAGCGACATTCACCCGAAGGTTGAGCGCTCTGCTTAGCAGACGATATGTCACCTACGACAATCATGGATTCTTAGTTCAGAGATCCCCGGGTACTTAGTATAGCAATTGGAAGCGCATCTATACATACTGGCACCTCCTCACTCAGGAGTCGATCGGAGAGGTATTTTTTGATATCGTCCATGGCTGTTTCTTTCGTCTGGTCCACAAGCCAGCAATGGATATCAGACTATTCTGAATAGCTGGGCACGCAAGCTTGCAGTTCTCGATCTGGGAGCTCTCCGAATTGGGTCCACGCGCTTTCAGCACTTAAACACGAACTCACGTGGCAGCCAATTTGATCTGCTCGTTTTGTAGCATAGCTGCCTTTTTAATGCAAGTAGACCACCTTGAGGGCCGCGGCAGATGCTTGCAATCGGCTATGCAGCTAATATATATATGCATCTATTAAAATGTCTTGCGGCCCTCCAACGCGTCGGTCGCGACGGCGGCGCATTCAGTATCCTGGTCGTTAATGGTAAGCCTTTGTCTTGTCTTTGCTCAGCGCTGCCACTCGATCGATATCCGACGATAATTTGTCGCCCCTCTCTTGTTACAATCGGAGCATTGCTGGCGCCGCACTTCTGTAAAAACAGTCAACCCGAAAAATATAATTTTCTTCTTTTCTTTCTTCTTTTGGATATTGAAATCTGCCTGCCTTTATGGCTACCTCCGACGATGTTCCAGATTCTACCGACTGGCTCTCGACGCCGCTTTCTGGCTTCGCAGCTGTCGAGGCCGCTTTGCGATGCCAAGTGTGCAAAGATTTTTACAAGACACCGATGATTACGTCTTGTTCCCATACTTTCTGCTCAATTTGTATTCGAAGAGCACTGTCCAACGATGGCAAATGTCCCATGTGTCGCTCAACGGAGCAAGAGCTGAAACTTCGAAGCAACTGGTCCATGGAGGAAACGGTAGAGGCGTTTACAAAGGCACGGATAGCTGCGCTGAGCCTTGCGCGCAATCAGAGGCCGAGGAGTTCATCGCCGAAAAGAAAAGCTCTTGAGGCGTCTCCGGATGCGCATGCGTCCCGCGAACCAAAGCGACTGCGTACATCAGCTAGACTAAGCAGAAATCGAGGAGAACCGGCAGCAGCAACGACTCCGATTGTAACGGCTGAAGAACAAATTGTTCCCGACTCAAATAAAGAGGATAATGATGACGAAGAATACGTGCCTGATACTCGTGAGTGCACAGACATGTCTTCAACTTACAACTTGGAAGCTGACAATGCACTTTCGCAGCAAACGGTCTTGTGCCTTGCCCCATGTGCAATAAAAAGATGAAAGAATGGCAGGTGTTTGGGCATTTAGAATCCTGCCCAGGCCCTTCGGCCCCAACAAACAATCCAAGCAATAATGTTGATTCCGAAAATACCTTTGCCTTTGGACAATCTCAACGAAAACAGCAAAAGACACTCGAGCGACTCCCCCCACTCAACTACTCCATGTTAAAAGAGCAAGCGCTGCGGAAAAAGATGCTGGAATTAGGGCTCAACAACCAAGGACCTCGCCCTCTCCTGGAAAAACGCCATAAAGAGTGGCTAACACTATGGAATGCGAATTGTGATGCGGCTACTCCGAAGAAGCGCTCAGAGCTGCTCAACGACCTGGATATCTGGGAGCGCACCCAAGGCGGGCGGGCACCAACCACTGGCCGAGTGATACAGACTGCGGCGGCGATCAAGGACAAGGACTTTGATGGTGCTGCATGGGCAGTCAAGCACGACTCTTCATTCAGGGACCTCATCGCGAGCGCTCGCAAGAACGGAGACAAGGCAAAGAAGAAGTTGGAGAAGGAGGAGGAGGATAAGTCAACAACCGAACAGCCGCAGAGCTCAACAAGCCAGCCTCCAGATTTGATGGTCATTTCATCGTCCCAACCGCCAGCCTCAAGTAATTCAGCAGCCCAAAGGAATTTAGATGAGCCAGGACACACGCCGGTTATGCAATTGCTGCCCCCTCACGGTGCTGAACCAATGGCTTGGGAGGCTTCACAACGGCCGATAGACTAAACAGCAACAACTGAAGCGTCAGGAAAAGTAATATATCAGAGAAAGCAGATAAATATTAGCGTGTGCATATTCTGAGGTCAATATAATGATACCCATCTGATTCGGGCGTAGTCGACTGGGGATAATAAATATAATGAGGAAACAGCGGAAACCTCGCATTCTACTGGTGAAATTGTTTCTATTGAGATTATAAAAGACCTTTTGATCATTCTATTCGTCAAATGATAATTAAACGTTATATAATCACGCTCATACCTTAACTTGAAATCAGTGTGTAGCCATGCCTAGGAAAAAGAGCCCTTGTAATATGAATAGAATCCGAAGATAATTACTTCCCTTCTCCTCTAACTACCGAGTGACAGATTCGCAATACCCGTCGCCCTTGTTGGTGATTGAGCCCCTATTCTCTCTGCATCTTCCGTTGGTACGGATGGCAGCTCATCGAGCTCCTTCTTGGCTCGAGCAGCTTCCCTAGCTTCCTCCTTGCGGCGCTGCTTCTCTTCCTCTTCCTTCTTCTGCTCCATCTCCAGGGCCTTCAGCTCATCATCAATCTCCGCTTCATCCACAACGTCGCCAGTGGGCTCAGACAAGATGGCAGTTAGTTCATCTGTCGCGCTCATTTGCTCTCTAAGATGATCCATTGTGGTCCCAACCTTTTCGGAGCTGCCGATTTGGGCGTTGAGGCTCTGTAGCGCACTGGCCGATGATTCCATAACCTTGACCAACTGCACCTGGTCGGAAGCCTGCTGTAGCCTTGAAGCCACCTCCTCGAGCTGGCTGAGAGTAGCATATCGTGTTGATAAAGAGGATTCGGCTCGTTTTTTCGACTTGAGCGCAGCTAAAGCTGTTACGCGATTCTTGCGTAGAACCGCGTTCTTTGCCTCTTGATCTAGTTCCTCTACTCGCTTGTCAAGTAGATCGACCTGATGTTCTAGGCTGTCCATCAGCTCTTTTATAGACGCGATGGACGCATCTTCCTCGGTGATCCCTCTTTCTTCACCAACCCCCCGGATGCGAACCGTATTTCCATTGTATTCAATCATTTCTTTATCTCGAGATAGAAATTTTAACAGCACATCAAAATCTGTCTCGGACAGTCGCTGATCCTTAGCCAGCACTGACTCGAACAGTGTCTGGAACTGAGCCCGCGTAAAGACTCGGTCATATCGTGATGTTCTTTCGGCAATCGTAGCTCCCAGCTCCCGGCTGGTTGCTTCTACATTTTTCATGACAACGTAATTGCCCTTGGGTATCTTATCTTCCCCTCGGATCGGGTCGATGACTCCTATCTGCCGCAGCGCCCATCCCACGACATTCCATGGCACCTGTGACCAGCTCTGTTGCTGTTGATATATATTCTGGGTTGACTGCAGGAAAGTCTGTAGGGGAATTAGATCCCTTTGTACCAGCGCTTCATTGATGACAGTGCCGAGCGCCAATGGCTGGCCAAATTGCTTGCTACTCAGCGACCGTCGTAGTGATTCGTCGATATCGAAAACCAGGGTGCTGGACTTGGAACCCTGGCGAGATAATAGCCCTTCAGAGGCTAATCTCGCGAGAGCAAGTAGCCAGGCTGAGATGTTCGCGTGGTAGCCATCTGGATTTAGAGTCCTTTGTGACCGAAAGTCGGAATACAGCGCAGGGAGTCGAGTTCTATCACAATCAGTACAAAAACTACACGACCCTCTAGAAGAAAAATGGATGATGGAATCAGACTGAATATCACTTACTTGCGGAAGTTGGGATCGTGCTCGACCAAATAATCAGATAGCTCGCCCATTTTGATCTCACAAAACGACAGCAACAGCTATTGTGATTCCTCGCGCTGCAAACTGATGCGCCTATGATGTCGCCTCCCAGATACTTCTCACGAGCATTGATGAAGAAAAGGGCACGTGTACTGTCTCGCGACTAATACGATCTGCTGGAATATTTGGAGTGATGACAGGCAAACGTTCTTAGCGGGAGAGATGCCGCTAAGGCACTTTAGCTTTACTGCCCGATTAGTTGGTGCATGTGATATCACTTTCAGCCACTGGTGTCACTTTGTTGATTCAGCTGCATTTACAAAGGAGTCCTAAGCAATGCGAGCGCATATATGGTCTTTCTAAAAAAGAAAAAAAAGAAAAAAAAAAGGACCTGCCTTTCATTCGTCTACGCTCAGAACTGTAAGATACAATATCATTGAAGCCAAGGGCTTATCATTAGGAATGGCCCATTAATACCTTAACACTCGGACGACAAGTAGACAAAAGCAAAAAGCCCCCCAATAATTCATATCTTTGAACGGCTCATCTTTCATTAGCGCTCGTAATCATTGATCCAGTTATCCTCCTCATGACTAGCCCAATTCCATTATCCTATTCAAAGCCTTCTTTGTCTATATCTTCATTGGTATCTTTGCTCATTTCCTCATTGTGCAAGGGCGCCGTTTCCAACGCTCCGCCACGGGCCAGATTGCTTGCTCTCCTTGAGCGCATATCGGTCAACGCCTCGCTCTCTTCGTCTATGGCATCATCAATCGCGTCTTCTGGTACGCCCCGGCCATGCCCAGCCGGGTATTCCAGCTTCTCTGTCAGCTCATGCTGTAGCGAGTCCATGGTTTCTCGAGCGCTTGCGAAGCGCGATATGCCCTGTCCGTGCGGCAGCGTTTCGTACATTTTCTTGGCTTCGTTCAGGCACCGTTGAGCCGGAATGTGCTTGGATTGTTGTGCCCAGGCTCTAGCAGCGAAGACGCTCCAAGCTGCTGACTTTCTCCGTCGACTGCCCCAGCTCCAACTGCCGACACCCACCTTGGAGGCATAGCAGATTGCTAACCGCTCTTTGACCAAGGCATCTCCAATCCTACCTAGGATCTTTGATTCGAGTAGGCGAGTACACCATCGTGCGGCATCATCGATACTGGAGCCTCCTCTTAGTCGTAGGAGCTCCTGGGCTAGAATCAAAGTCCTCGTTGCGCCGTATGGAGAGCTGCACCGTGTGTTGTACGAATAGAATGCCGATTCTAGCATCTGATCCACGGTCTCCGCGCGGCTCTTTGATGTCAATTGCTGTGGCATGAGAAGCAGGCTAATAGCAGCCATTTCGTTGGTTGCGGCGTGGTATTTCCAAGCTTTTGACTCGCTAAAATCGGATCGTAAGAGGTCGTAGGTCGAATGGGCTAGTTTCCAATCGCGCAACATAAAGGCAAAATCAGCCAGCTTTCGCATGATGGCTTCAGATGTATCGGCACGGTAAAAGCCCGAGGGATCATAGCCGTCCTTGCTGGTATTGACGCTGACGCTGTTGCTGCTGGATGAGGACCGCGAGCTGCTGCCGAACCCTGTCCATCTCTTTGATAAGCTCATAAATCTTCCTGTGATTCCCCTACGTTTAGAGGCAACTTGGTCGTTCCAGATCGTGGCGTGGCGTTCCATGGTGGGGATAATCGACTGCATTAGCATTTCGCGCACAAATGTGCGGATGGCAGTAGCATCTGATTCAAAGATGTACCGTGATGGATCCTCAAAATCCTCATCGTTTTCGCTTCGCCGGATCTCCGCCAACTCTTCGGGTGCAGACATCCAATCGCTTCGGGGGAGTGGGATGCTATCATCGTCGGTTTCCACACTCTGGCTACATCGTAGCCTCAATAGGTGGCAATGAAGTCCAAGGTGCCGCTTCATTTGCTCAAATAAGCCCATAGATCTCGTAATATCATCATTCTCCTCATCGTGAACCAAAACATAGTATCTAAGGTAATCTCCATCTACCCACGAGGGCAATTTCTTCTCGCCCTGGCTGGTTTCAGAGTACAGCCTCCGTAGCTCTTCTATGGGAGCGGGATTGCGGGAGCTGATAGCTATGATGCAAGCTACGGGATGAGCAAACGTTTCGTGCGCCGAGATGGGCAGTCCTGAAAGTAATCGTCGTAAATACAAAGCATAGTATGGTGAAGCAGCCTCAGAATCCGAGTCATATTTCATCATGATACTCTGGTGCGGCATTCCAAGAAACGATTCCTCTGCATAAGAAAGATGTCGCTCAACAACGCTTTCAATATCGTTTATGGCCGATCTGGTGCCGGCACCTCTTTCCTGCGCTCCATTTGGATTTCGCGGCGGCGGAGCTTGCTGAGAACCAGACGATAGCGCATCAGGACGCTCTATGTTTTCGCCGAACCGTGTAAATCGTATAGAAAAGTCTTCAAATATTCGCCCAACACCGTTGCTGTCCCTGATGTTTACCTTTCCTTGGATATTCTCCCCAAATGGCCGCAATAACTCCCAGAGTCCATTTTGGAAACCCTTTTCACGAATTAAAGCCTCTGTATCCCGCGAGGCACAGACAGATACATGAGGCACAAACGATCTGAGGATCAGATTCAGTGGTTCGCCAGGGTCATCTCCAACATTCTCTGGCAACACACGATTCTGACCTATGTCGAATACAGTGCTCGACAGGACTCTCGACGGAGATCCCCGCCCCGCTGGCGACATAGACCTTGACCCCGGAGGGGATAATGTCGAGGCGTATAAAGAGGCTCTGGAGGGGTTCGAGTTTCGAAAGACGAGCGATGATTCCGAAGGAGACGTGGGGAAAGGCTCAATCGTCGACGTCGAATGCCTCATATAAGAGAATTTGGCGGCGGGGGCCGCGGCGGGCAGCGCCTGAATCGGTTCCGTAGACGATTCATCTTGAGGCCGTGGCATGAAGGCGACTTGGTGCGGTGATTCCGCGCAGACAATGCAGGCGCTTGTGGTGACTTCATGCGGAAAGAGGGATCAGAGTACAGTCGCGGAGGTCTGGCGTCGTGAACCGGCTCTGCATATTTCGCTTGCGAAGCGTGCTGGCGCTGGGGCGTTGCGAGATGTCACTTGCCTTGAAGCCACGATCGGCTTCTCATATGATATCAAAAGCCCCGACTTCTGCTACGTACCTGCACTGCCCCATATTTCTGTACCGGGGCGTCGGCTCTCCGTTGTCCGATCCGCTTCGATATCTGCATAGCCAGGTACCTACGTAGTGCGATCCAATAATAGCAGTAACTTTGCATCAACTGGCCATCCATTTCTTCTCCATCTTCTCTTGTGATTGAAGATAGCTACAGCTATACTTTTAATCGATATGCCATCAGATCTTTCCAACTATCTAGCTTCAAAATATCTAGTTGCTGATCCAAAGCCATCATCAAAGAAGCGAAAGCGCAAGCAGGCAAATGCAGCTTCAGGCCTGCTAATCACCGACGACGACGACACAGCCTGGAACAATGGCTCCGCGCAGGACGATGCAGACGAAGACGGCCCATTGACAGTCACTGGGACAACAGCCGAATTCAGAAAAGCGAAGAAAAGCAGTTGGAAAACAGTAGGGAATGGTGGAAGTGGCCAGGAGAAAGATGACAGCGCCGCGGCTGCAGATGCCATCATCGCGTCGGCCGCAGCAGAGAATGATGCAGCGAGAGCCGCCGACGACGAGATGCCCATTGTCGAAGACAGCCAAGGCGTGGCGAAGATGAGCGATGGAACACATGCCGGCTTACAGAGTGCCGCGGCGGTCTCAGCGCAATTGAGACGACGGCAGCAAGAGGAGCGAGAAGACTTTGAGCGGCACCGGAAAACTGCAAAAGAAGAAGAGACGGTTTACCGCGATGCCACCGGACGAAGAATTGATATTTCTATGAAGAGAGCAGAGGCAAGGCGCGCAGCGGCCGAGGCTGAGGAAAAGGAGAGGCTTGCCATTGAATCCTTAAAGGGCGATGTTCAGCAGGAGAATGCGAGACGGCGAAAAGAGGAGCTGGAAGATGCCAAACTCATGAACTTTGCCCGAAAGGCTGACGACGAAGATATGAATAGAGAGCTCAAAGAACAATCAAGATGGAACGATCCCATGACACAGTTCATGGCGGAGAAAGAAACAAGTCGTGGAGGCAAAAAGTCAAAGCGCCGGCCAGTCTATTCAGGGACTGCAGCTCCCAATCGATATGGCATCAAGCCGGGATACCGATGGGATGGCGTGGACAGAGGCAATGGGCTTGAAGCAGAACGGTTCAAGGCAGCAAATCGCCGTGAACGGAACAAGGGATTGGATTACGCTTGGCAGATGGATGAATAGTAATGATGATAGTATAATTTATATCATGAGATACCCTACGAGAACTAAGATTATATAGTTTGGCGTCGTAGTTTTCGACCCGTCGTCGCTATATTTCGTTTTCTTTAATTAAAACAAAAGTCAAAAAAAAAAAAAAAAAAAAAAAAAAAAAAAGAAAAACAAGGTTTAACCCGCCGTGAGGCTTGCGATTAACTCGCAATCAATATCTCAATAAGCTGACGATTCAACACGTTTAGGTTCCAACGAGGTATGCTATCTTGGACCAAGAGCAACCTCATTTCCTACGGCGCAGGCGCTTATCTGGCCCATAATCGCACAACTGCTTAACGAGGCCGATCCATTCTTGCCTAGGCATTCGCCCTGGACCATCTCCAACGCGACCCTGGAATAAATTGATGAGATCACCAATAGTGATTCCATCTGCAGGTATCTTTTCCAAGATTTCCCACGACTCGATCAACCCACCAGAAGAGGAAGGAGAGGCACCTAGTTCCCAAGTCATTAGCATATATAGATGAGACAGTGAGGTTCAACGGAAAGGACATGAGCTTACCAGCTTGAGCGGGATTTGGGCTGCCAGCCCTGGATGCGGAGGGTGTTCCTCTTGAGCTGCCAATGAGCTTAATCTTCTTCTTCTGCATTGCTCCATCTGACATCTCGCCCGCTGTAAATTCCCCGTCACTCCCAGAGCCTGCAGTAATCTTAGGACGGCGGACAGTGTTAGTCTGTAATCCAGGGGTGCTTGGACGGCTATCTGTAGCCGCTCCCGATGCCTTCTTGAACTTCTTTCTGGTCGACTCATTGCCGCTTGACTCCGACAAAGCAGGCGAGCCGGCCCGTTTCAACGATTTTCCTTTCTTGCCCATCTCAGAGAGTTTCTGCTTGCCTTGTGGAGTGGTGGAGCCTTTGGCACTCTGGGATTTGGACTTGTCTTTGCCATCGCCTTGACCATCTTTGTTTTCACCTTCCTTTTTCTCGTCGTCTTTTCCAGCCTCCTCCTCTTCGTCGGAGCTGTCATCGTCGCTCTATAGAGGTGGTGGTATCAGTGATGTGTCAGCACTAAAATTGACAATAGGGTCAACTTACCGAGCTGCTCCATGGGTTGGAGCCGGAGTCGTCGCTCTCATATATGTCTTCTCGATCTCTCTTGATTAGAGCCTTCTTCGTTGTCTTGCCATACTTCTGTCTCTCCAGCTCCTCTCTCAGCTGTTCTTGCAGCTCTTTATCGACTTCCTGCTCGTCTCCTTCACCAAACAGATTCGCCCCTAGCTGCTCACGCCGAATTCGTTCCTTAGAGTCTTTCGTATCTTCATCATCGTTTCGTTCAAAGTGCGGGGTTTCGTCGTCATCTTGGAATTCGTCTCCCGACACGTCAAGCTCGTCGTGCTCCATCTTCTCTGCGCGCGAAGCAGCCTTGAAAGTATCACTTTCTGTCTTAATCATTTGTCCCCGTCCGTACAGCATCCGTCGCGTAGCTTCAAGATCATTCAAGCCCGCCTTCTTCTCCTCGTCCTTCATAACCCAACGGCCAACGTCAACCTTGCGATTCATGAAAGCTTCCGCTTGGTCTATCGTAAAAGGCTGGAACGGTGGCTTGGCATTGAACTTGTAGCTTTTTTCCAGCGGAATCATGCGAAAGACCGACTTATCAATCATGAAGGCAACGCTGGACTCAGAAAGTGCAGCCACGTAGCTGCCAACCCACACATTTTTCCCATCTGCGTCTTCCAAGTGCCAGGGTAAAGCCTCCTCATATCTAAGATCAGACTCTTTTTTCGCTGCTGATGTTTTTGGGGCTCGGTTGAACATGGTCTTTTCTTCCTTCTGTTTCTTTGGTCGTTTTGGAACGACCTCTTTCGCTACGGGCGCGATCTTGGCTTGATCAATAGCTCTCTGGGCCTCTCTTTCAGCCTTTATCTGAGCCATCCTTTCAGCCTCTTGCTCATCTACTGGTGGTCGTTCGGGCTCCTCCTCTTTCACAACTCTTCCGGGAGGAGGCTGGCGGGCATCACGTCGGTGTAGAGTTACAGGCCTAGCAAATTCGTCCTGGTCCGTCGGATCAATAGGTTTGTCGCCCAATTTGGTCTGAGAGAACTTCATGAGGTGATATCGGATTCCATTGAGCAAAGCCTTTTTAGTTGTCATGATAGGTATATCATTGAAAGGGTAAGGAGGGGGTGGCTCGCTCCATCCGCCATACTGTTTTCGCAGCTCTTCGATATTGGGTTTGCTTCCATTTGCCGTAGCCTTCGCCGAACTCGACGCTGCGCTGTTTGTAGGCGGTCGATTGGGTTTGGGAGCGGGCTTGCGCGATGACGAGACAAGTGGGTTGACAGGCTTCTTCCGAAGAGGGCGCAGAGGATTCGGCTTTTGGCTCCGCGGGGGGCCATTGGGATTTCCGGAAGGGGCGCTCATCTTGATGCTGGAGCGGGCATTGACTACTGAGGTTTTACCCGTGGAGAAAGGCACGAAGCCTTGTGGCACGAGCTTGTCGTGCCTCCGCTGCTAAACAAACAAAGAGCTATGGCAGGCAGATCACGGCAGCGCACTGGATAAAAGGCGTCGTAACAAAGGTTGCAATAGATGCTGTTCGAATAGCTGCTACTGCGTCTGGCCGAGGGACGTTAGATGCTGCTTTCGAGTAGGCACAGCTACGGGAGGGAAGAGATTTGAGGGATACGAAAATGAAAGAGAGCAGCAGATCGCAAGATGCTTAGTAGCGCCTAGTAGTAGGCCGTAGCCTCAGCTCTCTTTGGCGACCTGCCGGAGAACTGCCGCGGCGTGGGCAGCTCTTGGTATTCATGACGGCTTGATGACAAAGACACAGCTTAACGTCACGCTAATTGTCAGGGATTCAGAGCAGCACATGCACAGCGACTATCTTCTATTCACATGTATGCCTTGATTCTTTATTGTGAGGCTCTTGGCGCAAAGAATGATATCTATTCAAATTTTTACTGTGTAAGGCTACTGTATATTTGGAACAATAGCCGTGGTAGGATAGCATTATCGCTACGAGTTTGAGGGTCAACATAATGGAGGGGTACCTCTTACACGGACAGCCTCCATTGCACTCTTAGCCTCATTGATTTTTGTTGTACTCTAGGTACCGACATAACAAGATTGTATGCCAGGTATTTAACATTTGCCCAGAAATAGTTTGCCAATGCTCAACTTTGTGAATCACTGCATTTGCAATTCCGGCGTAGTAAGGACCCGAGGGACAAAACCGAGGCGCGACTGAGGGCAATTTGAACTGCGAGTGATCAGGAAAGATTGGATCGCTGTAGGTGCTGGCGAGAGCTTTAAACGCTGCTGCCCCTCGGCGGCACTAGCCTCAGTACAGCGCTAGCTCTGCGCTACCAGCTCTTGCTTGACTCTGCATCCACTTCTCCAAAGCTTAGTACCTTCCAGTACTTCGTTGCCAGAGGCAGACTCAAGTTCGACGCTTTGCCGTTGCAACAAAAAGCCAGTTTCTGCCTCGCTCTTTGTTTGTTCAAACAGTAAACACTACATCTACTCATTCTACGCAAATATCATCATTATTGTTTATTTGCTCCGGCAGTACTACGTGCGATTCCAGCACTGCCTCTCAGCACACAGCCGAACACAAGCTTTGGTTTCTGCAGTCTTGGAGGAAGAGTACCTCTGGGTGCCTCCCCCCATTATCTATCAACCTATCTGCCTTGTTAATTTTTTTCTCCCTCTTTACTCCTCATCCGCATCTCTTACGCAATATTAGCTGCCCAGGATATTGATGTGGTAGGCAGAAGAGGTCGAGGCTTTTGAAGCGCTGAAAGCTATAGCCTAGCTCGCATTGCCACCACGGTATTTCAACACTGCTTAGGTCAATTGCATTGGCCGACACGCCTGAGGACAAGATGGTTCCTACTCAGAACGAGCCTCGCGGCGTCACAGGTGATAGGTCGGCTGCAGGACTCGAAGGCCACCTCCGAAATCTGATTCTCACAAACGCCAACCCAAATCTCAGCCCGGCGCCCTTCATATCTGCAGACACTCGCCCTCAAGTCGCGGCGCCATATCCATCTTCAACGCCCGTTACGCAGCCAAATACTTCTATGAATTGGAGACAGCAAAGTGCCAATTCGAGTTATCCACCAAACCAGATGGCCTTTGACGCCACATCCCAGCAGGGGCACCCTTCTTCAAAGGCTGGCCGGAAGCGTCCTAATCAGGCTCAGCGGCGACAGATGGCATCTCAGTTCACAATCGCCCCTGACTCGCCGCCACAGGTTCCTTCTTATCACCCTCCAACAAGGCCCAATGCCCAATGGACAGCTTCGCAGCCTCAGGCTTGGCCAGCACCGAGGTCCTCAGAATTCCACCGTCCGCGTAACTCATGGAACGGCCCTCCTCAGCCGTCTGGGAATAGGTCTGCGTACCAACATTCGCCGGCTCCGAGGCCGTTCAATGCGGGACCATCTCACAGTGCACACCAGAGCACAGGACCAGCCTATAACAATAGCTATCAGCGTTCTTACATTACGCCGGAGGAAATTGCGAACCAAGCCCGTCTGCTGGACGCGCTCTCTCACCAAGTCGTAGCTCATTCCGAAATCGACAGATCTGAGATAGCAGAGAAAGAAGCTTTTCGACAGCGGATAGAGCAAATTTGCCGCGAGGTTATCTGCCGGTTTGAGGAACAGCGAGACATAAGCAATCCTATCCCGCCGTATTCTGTGGAATTAAAATGTTTCGGCAGCCTTGCTTCTGGATTTGCCACAAAAGCTTCAGATCTGGATCTTGGCCTCGTATCACCCCTATCCAAATATCCACCTGATGCCCCTGGGTCTCCCATACCTCGCCTAATTGAAAAGGCATTTCTAGAAGCTGGTCTCGGCGCAAGGCTTTTAAGCCGTACGAGAGTTCCAATCATCAAACTTTGCGAACTCCCCCCGGAGAAACTCCTCAAAGGCCTCCTGCAAGCGCGCAAGAAATGGGAACGCGGTGTTGACAACGATGCGCAACCCGGAACTACCGAAGCTGAGCATGGAAATGATGGCTCTGATCATGGTGGCGATGATGATGCTCACGCACAAAGCGGAGTAGTTGATGCTAAATCAGGCTCGTCGGGCGAATTTGAGATTATCTGTAAAGACTCTGGCGAGACGCGCCGTTTCCATCTACAACAAGGGCCAAAGAATTCTCTTGAGTCGTACTATGGTGTAGCCAAGCGCGTTTTGCGAAAGGCTGGCGGCTATGACGCTAACGCCTCAAACTGGAGGGACCTCACCGAGCCCGAATGGGATATTCTAAATAGAGTCTGCCGTGCGTTTATCCAAGGTCTGGCTGATGCCTCCTTGCGAGATCGTATTACCTCATTTCCTTCCATCTCTACAGCTGGGACTCTTCCGGACGCAGCTTACCGCCGCTCCCTGTCAGGGATATATATGCAAATAGAAGGCGCATATATAATACGCAAATGGGAATCGTGGAGCGAGGGCCGTGTCCTAAAACACGTTGAAGATGATAAACTCATCACACAGTGGGAGTCATTGCAGTCGAGGCAGCTGTCAGATATCGAGCCTGTTTCATATAATAGGGAGCTTCACTTGGCTCTCGAAAAACTCAAAAAGATGCCGTCTATGCAGCTACTACTACTCCAGCAAGACCAACAAGAGACTCCCTCGCAGTACAACATCAGAGTCACAAGCCTCACAAATAACTTGGCGCCTTCCCATGAAAGCTCCTTTTCCGCGGTGCAGGAAGCTATAATTAGTCAGTATGTGGCCGGAGTCTTCCAAGAAGAGATACGTACCCAATTGAGCGATTATATACAACAATTTCCGGAGCAGAGGACCATCCAAGCTGTGGGATGTCGCCATAAAAGCATTCATCTAGCCAATGAGTTGAAGAAGGCTGTGGAGAACAGTTTATACGAAGCAGATTTTGTGCCAGATATCACGCGGTATATCGAGCTACTACAACAGCCGCTACAAAAAAGAATGATCAAGCCAGGAAAACCATGTTATATCATGCCTGTCCCACCTGGACTCTCTTCTACGTTTGCCACGATCAAAACGCTAGGTGATCCCCATAAGATGATACTGAATTACAGATATCGAGATCCGCTGGAATTCCCTGCATCAGATGCAGGGGTACAATGCGATATCAACTTCTCTGCTCACTTGGCTCTTCAAAACACACTTTTGCTGCGGTGTTATTCGCATACGGATCCACGAGTTCGGCCCATGATACTATTCATCAAACACTGGGCTAAAGTGCGAGGCATCAACTCTGGATACCGCGGTACTCTAAGCAGTTACGGCTATGTTTTGATGGCCCTTCATTATCTCGTCAATGTTGTACAACCTTTTGTTTGTCCAAATCTCCAGCAACTTGCACCAACGCTACCCAATAACTTGTCACCGGCTGAAGTTGAATCCACCATAACTTGTCGAGGCTATGACGTCCAGTTCTGGAGAAATGAAGAAGAAATCGTACGGCTAGCATCTCAAAACCAACTAAACGGAAATAGGGAAAGCATTGGACACCTACTGAGGGGATTTTTTGAGTATTACGCTCAAAATGGGACGATGAGTAATGGCATTGGTAAAGGATTTGATTGGGGCCGAAATGTTATCAGCCTACGAACGTATGGAGGCATCCTAACAAAGCAAGAAAAGGGATGGACGGGAGCAAAGACTGTTTATGAAGTTCAGAAGACAGCAGACGATGCAGCCGCTCCTGCAAGCCCTCTACAGTCGACCGTTCAGCCTCAGGTAGCTCAACAGGCTATCAAAGACGGAGAAGTCAAAGAGATTCGGCTCCGGTACCTCTTTGCCATCGAAGATCCGTTCGAGACTGACCACAATGTGGCACGGACAGTCACTCACAATGGCATAGTATCGATTCGCGACGAGTTCCGCCGAGCTTGGAGAATCCTTCGTGCCGCTGGCAATGGAAACACTCAGGAGAGCCTGATTCAGGATGTTGAAAGCCAAGAGGAGCTTTCAGCTACATTTTTGCAACTACTTCAAGACATACACGGACCTACTCCGGCCTGAGTGAAATAGTACCGATAAAGGGTTCCAAGAAGTAGGGAGAGATCGGGTATAGTTTGAGTAGTTAAGAGATCTCTCTGTCTCTCTTTTACTTTTTCATTTTATTTTTGGATATTTCAAGTCTTGTTGCCACTCACATTGGAACTTCCTGAAGCCGAACCCATGTCTAAATTTTTATATGTCTGTGGAGAGAATATTAAACATGTTTCCTCTGCTTGCATCATTTTTCTTTTTATTTTGCGTCTTGCTAACGCCATTTGGCAATCCTCCCCGCTTGTTTTGTTTCTTCTCTTGCGTTTGATGGCGAGCATCTGCAGACTCTTGAGAAGATTCCTGCTCAGAAACTATAAAATCTGATAAAATACGCAATATTTGAAGCTCTTTTGATGCCTCAAGAAGACTGGACAGCGAATCAACATCTGGAAATTCGGAGAGAGGGGGTAGCTCTGATAAAAGATTCCGGAGCTGGATGAGGTTGAGGGTCAGACTGTCTGTGCTATTGTTCTCGAGAATGACGGAAGTGAGCACTTGGCTCAAAATGCGAAGAGAGTAGTATCCAGCCTGTATATGCGCAGAGAAATGAATCATGTCCCATGAGATTTTGTCTCTTGAGGTGGCCAAGCTGCTATGGTCCCGTTGAAGCGTGATCAAAATATGTGAGTTCTTACCCTGCTGGTTGCATTCCATAATATCTAATGCCATGGACAAAAGAGTCCAGTAATGCTGCGGAGCTACTTGTGTTTCTTTGACTCGTTTCATAAGCGCCAGAAGCTCATTGACTGCATCATTCGCCTCATCATTCGTTAGCAACAAGATTTCTCGTCCTTTTTGATCGACGTTCTGCACCCGTCTATATTCTTCGACTGAAATTGAGCGACCACCTTGAATATACTGGCATGCTGTCTTGTATGCCACCTGCCTGACAGGCGCGCTTGCATCCCAAGTTGTGCCTTTGTTAGGGTTTTCAATTAAAGATGGAAGGAAGATTTTGTTCTTTTCCTTTGCGCCTTTGGTTTTGGGTGCTTGGCCAATCTGAAGAAGCAACTCGGAGACTCTAGGGTCAAGGGCTTTCAGTGACAGCAAGTCACCTCCGATCAGCCGTGGCAGCTGGGCACTTTCGTGTTGGAGATATTGCTGTCGGAAATGATTATAGTCCATAGCATCTACTATCGGACTCAAGCAGGCCTTTAATAGCAGCGGCAGCGTGGCATTGGGGGAACGCAAGCGCTCATACCCCAGTCGACAGGGGTCAGCGGATTTTGTTAAGCCGAGCTTCGTATATATTTCACGAGGAGCATATTCGGTGCACGATAGCTTGGAGCTAGCATTCTCATAAATATCTCGGAAGAATACAACTTTGCCATTGCCAATGTTGTGAGCAAGGAGATCGGAATCAGATGTAAGTATTGTGCCGCCATGCTTTGCCGTCTCTGCAGCGCAGTAAGCGTCAGCCTCTCCTGGAACGATAGACAATTTATCTCGGTAAGTGTCACTATGCCGGATGGCATCAATGACCGCAGGCACTAGAAATGCTGGATCCAGAGAAGTCTTGTCTGTGAATCTTGTTGGACGGTTTGCATCCAGATATAAGTCATTTGATGGAACTACATGCCTACGAGGGCAAGCTGTAGGGTTGGCAGAGTAGAATATATTGAGTCGAGAAGTCACTTTCATCACCCTCTCCATGCGTACTAGTCGTTTGGATTCTGGCAGGTAGCCATCGAAGTATATGGCTCGACTGTTTGCATATTAGCTAAGATCGTCATATTAGGCCTATTTGCCTTTCTTTATATGGTGAAAAGCTTACATGACCACTTGCTGATCCTTTAACCGATCCAACCAGTCTATGACGACCCGGCTGAGAAGGCTATATGATGGCTGGCTGGCGCCTTGAATTCTGCAGATATGAAGGACATGATATGCTAGAGCTGGACCATCAATGACCACAGGTTGATTCTGCAGAGTCTTGTCTGAAGCATAACGCTCCAGAGTGGTAATCAAGTGAGGGATTCCCATATCGGCTGAACAGGTATTTTATGGAATGGGTCGGATTGAGACAGTGGCTGAATACATCAGATAGGCCATCAGCTAGGGCGGTGCTTGGAAGCCCTCATAATGAGCACATCATAATCTTATGGAACTGTTGGTTGGTTCAAACACACAATCAGCAAGCCATATTTACAGCAATACTTGTTCTAATCAGAGTGCCCCGCCATTCGGCTTGATACGAGGGCCTGTGTATGTAATTCGCACGGTATTTTATGTGGGTTGCTGCAGGGTCTAGGCGGCTTGTGGCCAATCAAATTGACTATCGATACCAACTGCGGCACTGATTGCAACCGTAGACGAGGTTACAATCCACACAGTATGACTCGTGAAAGCCCCACGTCTAGAGGACGGGGGAAAAAAAATCTAAGCTGCTCTTCTCGCTCAGCATCTTCTGCCAACTTTTCTCTTCTTTTTTCCTCCCCCCAAGGGTCGGCCACAATGCGCAACACGCTCATTTTCGCTGGCAATTCGTGCCCAGCTCTCACCGGCCAAATATGTGAGAACCTGGGCATGACTCCTGCTAAGGCGGAGCTGACCCAATTCTCCAATGTGAGCTTCCTGTAGCTCTGCGTCGCTGCTTTTTGGTTTTCCTTGATTGCCGGCCTCGGGACAGATAACTAACTCACTCCTTTCAAAGGGCGAGACGAGTGTCAGGATCCTGACAAGCGTCCGAGAGAAAGATGTCTTCGTCGTCCAGTCTGGAAGTCCCAGGATCAACGACTCCATCATGGAGCTGCTCATCATGATATCCGCTTGCAAGGGCGGCTCCGCCAACAAAGTCACAGGTTCGATGATGGAGCACGGATTCTGCTGTGGAACATTGCTGACGTGGCTTGGCAGCTGTGCTTCCCTACTTCCCGTACAGCCGGCAGTCGAAGAAGAAGTCTCCTAGAGGCGCCATCACCGCACGGATGCTGGCCAACCTGCTTGGCGTTGCAGGCGTTAAGCACGTCGTTACGGTTGACCTGCATGCCTCTCAGATGCAAGGCTTCTTCAGATGTCCTGTTGACAATCTTCACGCTGAGCCCATCATTGCTAAATGGATCAAGCGAAACGTGCCGAACTGGCGAGAGGCTGTGGTGGTTTCCAAAAACCCCGGTGGCACAAAGCGAGTGACATCGCTCGCCGATGCCCTCAAGCTAAACTTTGGGCTGGTTACCACTGATAGGAGACGTGGAACGAACATGACCGGTAGCATGATTATGAATCATCTCGATGGTCTCGAGCGACGCCCTAACTCTGAGAGTTTGGCGCAAAGCGATAGCCAACAGGCCGCCCCCGAAAAGCCTGCGCTGTCACGTGCCGGGACGAGGACTCCTGTGAGGAACGCTAGAATTGTTACCGACTCTCAAGGTTCGCCTATTCGGACGAGCGATTTGTCGTCAAGTGCGACGAATCTTGCTGATCCTAGTACAGAAGACCAGAGTGCTGCACGGCGAAAAAGCTCTGCGCAGCTCGACTCTGACTACGATGACCGTCGCGCCCAAGAAGTCATTCATGGTCGACTGATTCAGGGGCACATTGTGGAAGATGACTTCCCATCTCCAGCACGGTCAACGGCAGCAAATAGTGTCCATGAAGATGACCCCATGACCATGTCTCATGCCTCGTCCTTCTTTGCGCCCGACCGCCAATCACTGGCTGGTGGCGCCAACAACGAAAGCAGCTCCGACGAGGAGGACAATGCTTTCGAAGACCCCAGGGCGGAGCACATGATCACGCTGGTGGGCGACGTGAAAAATCGCACAGTCTTCATTGTCGACGACATGATTGACAAGCCAGGATCTTGGATCGCTGCAGCCGAAACGGTGGTGAAGAGGGGCATGGCCAAAAAGGTGTACTGCATTGCCACCCATGGCGTCTTTGGTGGAGATTGCCTGGAACAGCTGCAAGCATGCGAGTGCATCGATACCATTGTTGTTACTAACAGCTTTCCCATCAATGAGGAACGAGTGAAGAACTCGAGCAAATTGGTCATACTAGACCTCTCTTTCCTCCTAGCCGAAGCAATCCGCCGAAACCACTACGGCGAGTCGATTTCTCCTCTGTTCCAGCACATTGGAGATTGAAGCGCGGAAAGCTGATGATTTTCAATGAGCAATATGATATCGCATGCTACCGTCTGTTTTTATCAAGACTGTCAATAGTCTGGCCGGGTGGGTCATTTTCATTCTAGCGTGGCGTCTTCGGATTTCAGGAAAGCAAAAGAAACAAAGAAATATTTGACGTTTTATACGAACAAGGTCGGTCAAAATCTAATGAATGATGATGAGTGGTAGATGATGCTCTCTCCCTTCAGTCGCGTGAGTGTTTTGCTATGTCTTGTGAACTTGTGAAAAAAACCTCCCCAGCGGTGCTGCCCTTGTGGCAGCAAGGATCCGATTCATCTCAGAATGGATTCTTAACGGAACGTTGGTAGATTGAATTATTCGATCCTAGAAGGCCCCTGATTTTGCCGGCTTCTGTTGGCTAAGTGGATCAGGGGCAAGAGAACCTTTCGAACATGCAAAGAACTTTTGAAATGTGGCTTTAAGAAAACATTTCCAAAATTTTCTTGCTCTAAAACATAGAACAATTGTAGCACGCACAGCGTTTGAATAAAAAATCTCTTGTCCATTGAGAATCTATTCTCTTTTTTCTTCGTGTGTAGTATGTTACATGTCTGTATATATCTCGTTTTAACTCTATGACCTACGGTGCATAATGAGAGCAGAGGCCTGTGAATATGAACTCGTTAGCATTTTCACATGCAAATGAGCGAAATACAAAAGAGGCACTCACCTGGTGTATATATCTCGTTTTAACTCTATGACCTACGGTGCATAATGAGAGCAGAGGCCTGTGAATATGAACTCGTTAGCATTTTCACATGCAAATGAGCGAAATACAAAAGAGGCACTCACCTGGTGGTTGGGATAAACCAAAGACTCAGCAAGAACGACATTCTCTCTTCTGGTAGCGGAAAAGACTACAATCTCGGCAATGTCATCAGGCGTAAGAGGATCGCAGCCGCTGGATAAATATGTTAGTATCCGTTTAACCAGATTGTCAAAAAGTCCACAGAAGGGAGGGAGAGGAGATGGTGAGTAGTCTTACGCATAAATGGCATCAGCCTTGGCCTTGTCGCCGTAGAAGCGAACAACGGAGAATTCCTAGTGATGGTATGAGCAAAGTACACTTGAAGATGGAAACTAAGATGAAAAATTTCGTACTGTTTCAACCTGACCAGGGTCAACCTCAATGACCCTGATGCGAGTGGCAATGAGCTCCTTTCGCAAGCTCTCAGTGAAGCTTCGGACAGCGGCCTTGGTGGCGCAGTAGATTGATCCTCCAGGATATGGTTCACGGCCTGTAAAGCACAAAGGTCTTAGTACCGATATATATCTTGATGACACATAGTGATGCAGATTGAGAGCACTGATAGTAGAATAGGTAAGCAACGACATACCAGCGATGGATCCAATGTTGATAATGTCACCCTGGCCACCGTTTGGTCGCTTCTGGAAGATAGGCAGGATGGCTTGTGTTAGGTTGATGAGGCCAGTGACGTTGGTAGCGAACATGATGTTGAGGTCATCCTCGGCGATTTCAGGAGCCTTGGCGACGCCCTTGACGAGGCCACTGGACGGAATAAATTAGTATACGTTGAAACAGTCCCTCATCTTAGGTACGGTATATATGGAGAGATGTGAACTTACGCATTGTTGACCAAGACATGGATATCCCTCCACTCCTCAGGCAAGCTGCCCACAAAGCCTCGAATCTCATCAGCCTTGCTCACATCCAGCTTCACAGGCAGCACCTTGACGCCATCGTTGGTCTCCTTGCGGATCTGAGCCGCCAGCTCCTCCAGCGAGTCAACACGACGAGCCGTGACAATGAGCCGCAGGTTGCCGTTGGGGTTTGTGCGGGCAAACTCGAGCGCCGTGGATTTTCCTATGCCGGAAGAGGCTCCCGTGATGAGGATGGTCTTGCCTTCTAGGCGCTTGGCTGCTGCGGAAGACATGTTGCGGACAAAGATGCTGTGCTTATGCTTCAAGAACGTAGCTGGTTTGAAGGTTGAGCTGGGATGAGTGAATGAGAGAAATCGTGCCTGGCTAGTGGAGAAGCTATAGCAGCGGCTAGACCGAGACAGAGGAGGTACAGCAGCACGACGGAACAGATGAGTGGCAGCCCTGATGTGTACAGACGGCATCAATTCCGTATGCAAAACGAATTTGTCCAAAGTGGTATTAGTAAGAGGAAGAAGAGAGAGATAAAAGATTGTAACAGGAGGAAAAGTGGACGAGGTGTGTGACTGGCGCCCTTGGAGATAGCTAGCACTATTACTGTTGTAGGCAGATTTACCGTGTTTGGCAGTGTTAACCGTACACTACAGGCTACTAAAGTAAGGCATGGAATCTAATAATTCAATTCCAGTGAAAGCACCCGCTACTTGGGATTCATCATGCTATAGAAGAATGACGACAGGCCGATGCCTCGCCGCTCGACCTCTGAAATTTTGCCAATCCCCCACCTTGATGCTGCAATTACTTCCACGGCGACGGCCAATGACCCCGCGCTGGTGAACGTGGGGCACAGATTATGGGGCTTCGGCTTAAAGAGCGAGCGACGGAGAGCCCGCAGACAATGTTGCCGCCTTTTATTGATAGGGAATATTTTACGCAGACGAGTCCCGCTATATACTTGGCTCGTTAAGCCAACGGCGGATTATAATCCGTAATATATAGTTGTATGGATCCGCAGCGAGGTGATAGGTGTATAAACTGGTTATTGCAGACATGACCCAATCTGCGGGAAGAGTGTTGGACAGATGTGGTTCAAACCAAAAAAGATATATTCATACAACGTAGTAATAGCCCGGATGATCTATCCTTTGCTCCCATGGCACTCTGATAGCCACTATTTGAATACCTAAGACATCATGGACAACGTCGTAAGAAGCTAATCTCTGCTTCGGTTCTCTCAATGCTCCAATAACACTAGTTGAAAATCCAGACCAACGCCATGGTACTCAATCTCTCTGGCATCGTACACATAAACTCCATTTACTTGCCATTTTATAGTCAAAACACAAGGCGTAATCGGCTTGGCGATATCCATACCGATCCGTGGCGATCAATTGTCTAATTGAGCTGCTCTTAGCAAAGCGTCCACCCTTGCTCGCGTCCTCGTGACTTTCGCTTCCAATAGCTCTAAAGGTTCCTCCTCTACTGGACACTTTATGCCTCTCCAGGTGAATCTATAGCCAAAGAAAGTCGAGAAATACGCGATGAAGCATCCCGCCATAGCTAGTTCAAGCCCTAGATCAAAAGCCGCGATAAACGCGGACCGCATTGCCTCCAAGGTATCTCCTGTAAAATTTGTCATGTCTCCATCAAAGGAAGCAAATTCATCAGCAGGTAGGATATCCGCAAGTCGATTAATGACGAAGTGATGCAAGCACACTGTCCAAATTGCTATGCCGAAGCTTCCTCCCAGTATTCTTGCTTGGGCAAGAATGCCGTGAGCGGATGCTAATAGGTCAATTATTAGCCAAATATCCCAATGGATCAGCTGAAAAGAAACATCATACCCCGGTGTTGAATAGGCACTTCGAGACTAATCATGTTGGTCGCCGCTGATGTACAGAGTCCGAACCCAAAACCAACCAGGGTAAGAAGTCCAAGTGTGGTTGCATCGTCCTTGGAGCCTTTAACTGCTGAAAGCCAGGAACATCCGCAAGCCATAAACATTGTGCCGGAGCGCATAGTTGAAATGAGATCGAGATGGTTTGCCGACGCGTTCATTTTTCCACTGATAATGCTTCCGAGGGCAACTGTGCCTAACATAGGGAGTAACGATAGCCCAGCGACGAACGGGCTTTTGCCGCTAAAGACTTGCATCCTCATGGGAATCGAGTAGATCAAAAGTAAATACGGGCAGCCTGCAAATACAGCTGCCAAGATGGTCCTCGTGTAACGTCGGTTTCTGAGCAATGTCATGGGAAAGATGGAGACGATGTTTTGAGAAAGGCGTTTATCACTAAAGTATGACCACAAGAATAGCATGATCCAAGACAGCAAGCCAAGTATTAGTGGGAGAATGAACTTAATAGCCCCCCAAGCCTCTGATTCGCCAGCGTTTTCGAGTGCGAATACAACGAGGACCGAAGCTGCAATACCCAATATGGCACCAATGATGTCAAATTGCTTCCACGATCGAAGCTGTCGAAGCTGAGTATATCCCATTTGCAGCTTATGAGGCCAACTGAAAAAGAAAATGATCATGCCAATAGAGCAGATCGGAATACTATGTTTCCAAGTTAGCTGATGTCCTTCGCATATATAATATTCGCTGACGTAGTTACGGACTTGATGAAAAAGATCCACCGCCAGTCCAAGTACTGGGTGAGTAGCCCGCCAATAACAGGCCCAAGGACGCCCGCAGCTGCAATAGTCACTCCAATAATGCTGCCTATATACTGACGCATTTGAGGTGGGCTATTTTGAGTCAATATGAGGATGGGTAAAGCGTAAAGACCTAAAGGAAGTCATCAGCGCCCTGCTTCTCTTAAGTCATTGTGTTCACGAACCTGAACCACCCATTCCTTGAAATGCCCGGAATAGTATCAGTTGATCCATATCTTGAGCAAATCCACACGCAGCAGAGAATGTCAAGAACAGGGAGTAGGAAAACATGAGAGCATAGCGTTGCCCGATGACATCTGAAAGAGCAGTGGATGAAACGATAAAGCCAATGTAGCCCAAAGTATATGCCAGCACCACCCAATTGATCAAACTGTGCTCTTGAAACTCGACTCCTATGCGGTACAAACTCGCCGCTAGGACGGATGTATCCATGATGGACAGCAACAAGCCTGGGCAGACTCTAAAGCGGCAAATCAGCCTACTTCGACCATGATGGGCTTTCTCCGCGAATGAGTGTTGATACATACCCAAAGCATATGAGCCAGAATCGTTTCATCGACATACTGGTCTCCGGAGGTTCGGGACCCTGTCTATGTGCTTCCAGTAATGCAAGGTCTTGTTCTATACCATTCATGGTTTGCAGTATTCGAGATCTTCTCACATACTCTGGTGATTCGTCTTTGGTGTGGGCCTGCGTCGTTCCAGGAGATGCCGACATCGTGAAGAATAGAAGAGAGCCAAAGGCTCCGGAAAATAATAAGAGCTTTTATAGCGAAAAATGTGTATTCTGGAGTTTGGAGTGACTCTGTTGAGCCACCTTTGAAAATATCGTGATGCTGCAGCTTGGGTTTCTTGTACAAGAAGCTTTAACTCGAAATGATGTGAGAGTTGGGTTTACTATGTTAATGTACCTTGATCTTGTTGATGCGTGTTGTTATGATCCGTGTAGAAACGTAAGCTGCGATCCGGAGTGAATCATTGAAGATGCTGCCTCAGTATCCGTGTCAAAGGATATCAAGCAAGAACTTTGTAACAAACGGAAAGTAGCTTGATTAAAGCAACACTGAGGGCGCGGGCCTAGAAATCAGAAAGTTAGAAGTTGGTCGCGCTCTCTGAGTCAAAGCGGTAACAACATATGCGAGGCTGAATTTTGTAATCACGGCCAGGCAACATGCAGAAGGAGCTTCTCCATGGGCGAATAGCTCCAAATTGACTGCCAGTACCTAGTTTTCAGGTGTCGAGTGAATTACAGTGACCCGTGACCCATTGCTGCTGGCGGTATGTAAGAAGAAGGAATCTGTGCGCCTGGTCGTGATCGTAGCCGAAGCTTGGTGTGGTGGCCAACTTGAAATCCCAATACCGGGTTGGTAAGGTCTGTACATTGCCCACCTAGTATAGATGCTATTTTCAGGTTCACGTTGCGCAGGACAATGCTTGTAACAAAGCTGTGGTCGATGAACCAGTTTTTCCAGCCTATCAAGCCGAGTCGGTACCGTATAACAAACAGGTTCTCGCCTAATGAAAAATGTAGTGAAGAGACTAATGAATCCAAGCACACAAAATGAGGTATGGAAAATGAAATGCGCGGCTGTCTAGGTACGGGATCACAGGTGGCCGTAGAAGCAGCAGAGGAAGAGGCGAAGAGGCCTGGTTAAACAAGCATTGTGTATTTTTAATTGGCAACGCTCTATTTAGAAAGAAAAACGATGAGTTTGTACAAAGATAACATTCTTCAACTTTGAATCGATCGGCTGAGGAGACGAGACAGGCAATGGGCTCCAAAACTTGCCTTGATATCTAGTAATCGCGATGTTAGTTAGAATAGAGAGCAATGCCGATTAAAAAGGTTGAACTTATAGAGGAATATCAGAGCATGCTCCTCTCAAATGTGAATGGTTTAGTGCCTATCTTGGACTAAACAAGCTTGGTCTATTTTAGGCTCCTAACCTGTGGCGGGCAATAATGCAGCTAACGCCAAAAGTGCGGCGATAGCTACCTACCTTAAGTAATTGCTGCAGCTATTACAGGTGCCTAGTGCCACTCTTGATATCAAATAGCTGCATCAACCATTCTTCACCTGTCTATGCCATCAACGCCTTGCTTCACTGTGATTACTGCCAATCACGCTAAAGCTTCGACCTCTCAATTTCTCTCGTAACAAATTCACACGCTGCAATCTAGCTGCATACACATCGTGCCTCTTCCTGGAGCCCCGCAGGAGCCCAACTCCCACCTCGTCTCATTCACCCGCAAAGGCGAATCTCGCCCAGCATGACAGAAATCTTAGCGCAGACACCTCCAATTCTACACGGCCCCTCGGACAAGGAAAGGAAGTATGATCGTCAGCTCAGACTATGGGCCGCTTCGGGCCAGGCCGCCTTGGAATCCGCAAACATCCTCCTCATTAATTCGGGGCCCGGCACAGCTGGCGTCGAGACTCTGAAGAATCTCGTCCTGCCCGGTTTGTCAAAGCCCTTTGCTCAATGTTTATAATCATTTGTAAAAGCTAACTTACTTTCTCTCGCTTAGGTATTGGCAACTTCACTATTGCCGACAATGCCGCCGTTCAAGAGGTAGATCTCGGCGTCAACTTTTTCCTCGATGAGTCCTCTCTCGGCAAGTCGAGAGCGCAGTGCTGTACTGAACTACTGCTCGAGCTTAACCCAGAAGTTAATGGATCCTGGAACTCTACAGTGACAGTGCGTCCCTAGTCTGATGATTGTGTCTTTGCGCTTTTCATGCAATGTGCATCGCTGACTTCTTCTGTAGGATACCGCCAGCCTCCAAAGCCTACTTGATGTACCAGAGGTTTACACCATGATCATGTATAACCTTCCTTTACAACCAGAAATGCTTCACGTCATTGAGACATATGGCCACCAGCATGGTACTCCGCTTGTTGCTATCCACTCTGTTGGATTCTACTCCTACTTTCGCATTGCACTACCAGGCACATTTCCCATTGTTGATACTCACCCGGATGAGACTGCCACGACAGATTTAAGACTCCTCTCTCCTTGGCCGGAACTCTCTGAGTTTGCCAGTGAAATGACTAAAGATATTGATAATCTAGACCACCACGAGCATGGCCATATTCCCATGGTTGTAATTTTGCTCTACTACCTCAACATCTGGAAGGAAGAGCATAACGGCGCCTATCCAACAGCTTATAGTGATAAGACAGCATTTCGAGAGATGGTATCCAAAGCCACGAGGCGGGATAATCCCGAGGGAGGGGAAGAAAACTTCGAGGAAGCTGTTGCTGCCGTCATGAAGCACGTCGTTGCCCCATCGCTCCCTTCATCGCTAAAACAGGTTTTCGAGTACGAGCACAAGGATGAGAAGCAGTCAAAGTCCAGCTTCTGGATCATTGCCGAGGCCTTGAAAGAATTCTATGCCGAACACCAACGCCTGCCTGTGGCTGGTGGCTTGCCTGATATGAAGGCACAATCCAGTGTTTACATCCAGCTGCAGAATATTTACAAAGATAAAGCTCGGCAAGATGCAAACGACGTTTTTTCCAGAGCCCAAAAGATCTCAGGGGATGTAAACATCGATCGGGCAGAGGTAGAGCAGTTCTGCACCAATGCTCGGTTCATTAAGTTGATCAATACTACGGGAGAGGAGCCCCCAAGCATGGGACAGATTATAGGTGGGCAAACTGGTAGCCCTCGCTTAAATAATTTGTTTACTGACAAATGACATTGATCAACAGAGCGAGAACTTGGCAACGACGAAATCGCTGCCATCGCCGGACCAGAAATGCCAATGTCACTAATCTCCATCTACCTTGCCTTGGGCGCATTGTCAACTACCTCGGCTGTCTCAGCTGATGACATAATTTCCGCAGTGCTTGAAAAGGCGCCTGCTCTCAAAGACAACGAGCGCCTGACTCAGGTAGCCCAGGAGCTGTCGCGAGCGGCTGGCGGAGAGCTTCACAATATTTCTGCCGTTATTGGAGGCATGGTGGCGCAGGAGATTATCAAAATCATCACAAAGCAATACATTCCGATAGACAACACCTGCATATTTGACGGAATTGAGAGCCGATGCCAGGTATTGCGTTTATAATGCGTAAGATATACCTACTGAAGCAGGGCTGGTAATAGACCAATTGAGATGAAGGGGCGTATCTCTCACAGCTATCATTAGCAAAGTATGGCCAGCTTCAAAAACGGCAATGATATTAATTGTATGAAGAAGTTTAAGGGCTGAATAGGCAGTTAGCTAATGGGCCACCAAATCATAAATTGTGTGCTACTAGTAAAGTAGCGACGATCGTACTGTCGCTTCGGCAGCATCGTAGGGGCTTGATATCTTCTTGGAAACGAGACGTACTAGTAGAATAAAATGCGCTTACTAGTAGACCTCAGATTCCATCAGATATCAATTGCCGCAGCGTGAAAGACTTGCATGTTGCAGAAAGTATAGGAGATCCCCCAGTGATGACAGGCAGGTCCTAGGGAAAACTCGTCAAGTAAGAGGCTCCTTCTTAGGAACAGGCTCCCCAGGAAAGAGCGATAAATTATCCAAACTGGTGCCTACTTTTACTTTAGTACTGAATCAAGGTACACAGGAAGGAGCACCGAATCAGCCTCCTCAATATCTCCCAGAACTGCCCGACTATTTTCGACAAAGCCTCAAATTCTTTCTTCCTCGACCTCCCTTTTGCTTTTGCTAATGCTCAAGGATTTGTCGGCCGGACCGAGATACAACCGCGGCTGTGCTTTTTCTCGATTAATATTCATCCATATCCTGAGCTGAAATTCGCCAAGCATACACCACAAGTCTCAATCAAAATGGAAAACGCGCTTCTCTGCAATGCCCCCAAGTGCAGAAAGGAGCTTACCGATCGGGCGCTCGTAACAACTTGCAGGTTGGCCTATCATGGAACCTGCAAATTTACAGACTTACATGGCGTGTGCTGACGATTCCTTCGCAATCTAGTCACATCTTTTGCCTCGACTGTGTTCAAAAGTCTGGCCTGGTTGGCCAAGGCGACCAGAGATGCACCGTTTGCCCCGTGTGCGAAGTCCAACTGCCCAAAGAGGAAGACGTTGCCCTGCTCAGCATGAATCCTACCGAAGAGTTCAAGACGTGCGCCCTTAGTGGCCTAAGTCCCAACGTCATCATGGAGTGTGCCGGACGAGCCATCAGCTTTTGGTCGTATCAAGTTGCTCATGATTTACACTACCAACGTCACTTATACAAATCTCTCAAAGAGAAACACTCGGCACTGTGGAATAAACTTGATCAAGTAAACAGAGATTACGTTGCAGAGCTCAATGACTTATGCGGCAAGCTGAAGAGTCAGTAACCTCAACCTATCTCTCTATTCAGGTCACACGAGCTTACCAAGATAGGCGTGACGGCATCACGGGATGCTTTACAGCAAAAGAATAACGAACTCGCAGGAGCCTATCAAGACAAAAGTCGCAAGCTGTTTCAGACGCAGGAACTCTATAACAAAGTCAAGAAAAGGGCTGAGTTGAGTCAAATCGAACAAGCGGCTTTCGACGCTGTAGACAGTTCCACAAGATCGGTGCCTCAACTTTCAACCAGCAACCAAGCGTCCAACCCATTCCGCTCACACAGCTTAAATGGTGATAACGAGCGCAGTTTCCCCCTTAACCGTGGGCTACCAAGATTCGATGCCGCCGATTTTGCCACGGCCCCGCCTGTATCGAATATGCAACAGTACGAGAGCGAAAGTCGCTGGCCAAGAAAAAGGCCCCAAGCTTATGGTGAGGCATATCATGTCTGTGGATTCAATTTCGGGTTAACCCATAACAATGATAGAACAGATTCCAGAAGTTCAATATTGCCATCGAAACGCAAGCGGCCGACGCTCTGCAGAGATTTTTCGCCCTAGTGTATCCAGCAATATTGAACCGTCTAGGAGGGACGACATGAGGCCGTCGGCAGTGAGTCCAAATTTCCCCCAGCAGTCTAACGTGTGGGCTGGCGTTGGCCTCACTTCTGGAACGAAGATTGGGCAACCGGGCGGCCATTCTGGGCAAAATGGATCGTTAAAGGATCTCTGATGGACTGACTAGCCTTGTTCCTGAGAGGTGAAGCGTTGGTTGATGATAGCACTATCTTTGTGTGAAAAGGTTATTTATTAGTGATTTCTTTGAGACGAACCAATATTGAACACTTTAGTACTAGTACACCAAAAAGAGAATACATCCACTTTCGAAGCAAAGTGAACAGTGTTTTATAAAGACTGGTTCTCTTTCTATGGTTTGCTCAGTGAACAAGCTCACACAAAATCACGAAAGGGGCCGGTGACAAGATTTGTGTTAAATATGCGGCTCTTCCCCCAACTCTTCCAGGTCTTCATGAATCGACACATTTTCCAGCCATGTGTTTCGAAAGCGAGCGAAGCTTGCGATGGAGTTCACCGTCAGTAAAGAACATTGCCGACATTGCATCCGTCTCATACCGGGCCTACAAAGGCTGCCGGTGGGTTAAAAGGAAACTTGTTGCCCATATTAACTCGCACAGAAAACGAGAAGACGGGCTGAGCCGCATGCACATGAAGCCATGGCCTGCTGGAGCAAATGTCACTCGAGCAAATGCTACTGATGCGCCACGACCTACAGCAGACGAAGAGAGGAAGTCTATACAAGTAAACGTAGTGGATCACTTGTTTCTGGCGCAACTCGACTCTTCGGGAATGGATCCAGAAACTCTTGCGTTACTTGAGATCAGAGGCATGGTGCAGGACACAACGACGCGGGACAAAGAGAACAAAGAGGAACTGGGCAAACTGGGCAGGCGGGCAGAGGCGTTGTGTTCGCACCGGCCTTTCGCGATAAGGCGGCTTGATGCGACTCTACCAGACGACTTGCCACAGCTCGCGATGCGTGCCAATCAAGCCCACGTATCTAGCTGTGCAGTTTGACCCGAAGCGGACATGAGCTGCTGCATGAGACTTCGTATTCTTGGTATTCTATCTTTAGCAGTGACGAAACAGGGATGCGCATGGCGTGGCGGTACCTGAGCGATAAGCGGGACAAGTCGAGCGACTTTGTCCGTCCTGCCGCTGCTACTCTGCGCCAAGTACCACGACTGATCTGCGCACTTCTCAGCATGGCGTCAAGGTACAGCGTGGCGCGGGCCGTCTGGCTGGGCGTGAGACGTCTAGCGCCTGTGAGTGGCCCGATTGCTGCGAGTCCGCGTCAGTAACGCCAACGCTGGACTCGACACTTTTGCAATTTTGCAGCCTCTTCTCGCACCGCAATCGCTACTCCGTCTCTCGTTACAATCTTGATTGTTCAACCTCGATCCCTGTCTGGCTTCTGCGTTACACTTTCCTTCAATTCGATCGCTCGCTAGCTTTTTTTTCTCTCTTCTTCCGCATCTAATATACCCCTGCCCTGTTGCTGCTGCTAGTCCGACTAATCCTACGGCTTTCCTTATCGAACCCCCATGATTGCGCCGCCGTCTCCAGACGCCTCCATTCCTCAGCATTAATCCCACTTCTCTTCTGGGGAACCGGCCGAGAGAGACAAAAGACTCTTACCGACTTTTCTTTGTCTCGTCTTTTTGCGACCTTGTTCCTCGTTTTCTCTTCCCCACCGTATTGAACGGAGCCGCAGTTGCGCAAGTCGATCGATCCCTCGCTGGGCATTACTTTCAAACCCCAGCCGACCTAATTGAACAACAAATAATAAGGCGCCACGCGAGACTCGAGTTCATTCCTGTGGGCCGCATGCTCTGATGGGTAAATCACGACTCCCGTTTATTCAATTTCAGTAGAAGCTCGTTGGAAGAGAACAAAGAAAGATGGAATAGAAGGAGTTGATTTCGCTAACGCAATGTGATCGCGCAGGTCAATACGGTGTAATTCTCGATGCTGGCTCTTCGGGGACCCGTGTGTACATATACAAATGGAAAGATCCCGCCAAGGCCCTGAAGAAGGCCTCTGCCTCCGAAGCTCACATATTACCAAAGCTGAAACTCCATAAGAGCAAGAAGATTCACCCGGGAGTTTCTACCTTTGCCGAAAATGTCGCCTCCGTCGGTCCCGATCACCTGAAAGCACTCATCGACACAGCCCTCAACGAGATACCGGCGTCGCAAGTCTCCGAGACGCCCATCTTCCTCCTCGCAACTGCCGGTGTTCGATTCCTACCAAAGCACCAGCAGACATCGCTGCTGGGCGGCATCTGCACATACCTCAAGGCCAACACGCAATTCCAGCTTCCCGACTGTGCGAGCAACATTCAAGTTATCTCGGGCGAAACAGAGGGCCTGTATGGGTGGATCGCTGCCAATTACCTGCTTGGAGGCTTCGACAAACCCGACGAACATGCACATGGCAAGGGCCACCACACCTATGGCTTTTTGGATATGGGCGGCGCATCCGCGCAAATTGCCTTTGCGCCGAACTCAACAGAGGCCGAAAAGCACTCCAATGATCTCAAGCTGGTTCGACTGCGGCGACTAGATGGCTCTCCCGCTGAATACAAAGTGTTTACAGCTTCCTGGCTAGGCTTTGGTGCTAACAAAGCACGAGAAAGATTTGTTGAGAGCCTACAGGAGCAGTACGGCAGTGCAAAGGGCGATATTCCAGATCCATGTCTACCAAAGGGCTTGCGGACCACACTCTTAGGCAAGCCTCTTTCTGGTAAGGCGGTAGACGATGCACTTGTTGGCACCGGCATGTTTGAGGAGTGTCTGCGCAAAACGTACCCGCTGCTCGGCAAAGATGCTCCATGCGACGACGAACCTTGTTTACTAAACGGTCAACATGTGCCTGCGATCGACTTTGATGTAAATCATTTCATTGGCGTTTCCGAGTACTGGCATACGACACATGGCGTCTTTGGCCAAGAGAGTAAAGTCTACGATTTGATTGCATACGAGCAAGAGGTCAATAATTTCTGCAGCCAGGATTGGTCGGTCATCGAAAACGGGCTTGACAAGCGAAAAAAGACTTTGGAGGAAAAGGCCGAGAACGCCCGAGAGGCCTGTTTCAAGGCGTCTTGGCTGATCAATGTGCTGTACGAAGGAATTGGCATTCCCCGCATTAGCTTAGGAGATGCTCCCAGCCACAAAGTCAATGCAACCAAGGCGCTGGAAAAAGCTAGAGACAAGGGATTCCTAGACCCCTTTCAGCCAATTGATACTATTGGCGGTGTCGAAGTTAGCTGGACCTTGGGCAAAATGGTTCTCTACGCCGCTGGACAAATTCCTCCCAAGGAGTCGCCGCTTCCTGTTGGGTTCGGAAGCAATACAGGATCAGAAATTCCTGCTGATTTTGAATTTGCAGGGTCCAAGCCACTTTTCTCAGGTATAGGCGACGACCATGACGACGACGACGACGATATCCTTACAGGTCGATCCAAGCCATTCTCCAGCTTATTGGTGGTGATACTGATTCTGTTCCTTATTGGTTATCTCCTAAGGAAAACCGAATTGGGGTCCAGGGTGTTTAACAAGTTTTGGCGTTACCGCAAGACCAGAAGCTCGTCGTTTGTGAGAAGACTCTTTGGCAGAAACTCTACGCCATATGAAAGGATACTGGAAGAAGGCGATGTGGCAGAGTTTGAGCTTGGCGGCACAGAGTCTGATGAAACCGATGGCTCGGATGGCGGTGATGTGTCAAGATCTGTAAGGGGTTCTCGCTTGGCTGGACCGAGATTGAATTTCGAGCGGTATGACGACGTCCGGCCGCCGTCGGCAATGGATAGGCATGGCCTCGTTGTGCGAACGGAGAGCTGCGAACGACTTGCCCCTTCGCTTCAGATGCTAAATGCTGGCCGTCGCAGTAGAACTGGCAGTCCGACCCGGTTGAAGAATTCGATGATACCCCAAGAGAGTTAGTAGTAACGGGTATAGGGAACGAGGAGGGCAAGCTCTCCGGAAAGAGAGAGCCATGATTGTACGTTATACATGTCAAAAGCTCATATGGGATGTAATGGTTGGTCAGCTTCACTTCTTGCACAATAGCCGTTTTGTTTTTGGAAAACAGATCAGATGTACATATTATATGTCTCCAAGCCGGCTTGAGGGAAAAGCGCTCTCATGCAGAGCGTGATGAGAACCTATAATAGATAGTATCATGCTTGAATCACAGATATTTAATTCACGGGTTATAAGCTTTTATTTTGTTTACACTCTAGTTATGTTATTTGCGAAATACAGATATTGCCAGTCCCTACCTAGAAGCTTGATATGCGTATGGCGTTGTAATGATACAGACGGAGGGGTGATAATTGAGAGAGATGAAAGTTACACTACGCTACAAGTCCAAAATTTGGAGGAAGAAGTAAAGGATGAGTGAGAGAAAATTATGCGAGAGGACCAGATGTAAAGAAGTTGAAAGAAAGAAAAAACATTGTAGTATCAATCGGCTTGCTTCTCGAGGAAGCTGGGATCTGAACGAACTCGGGACTCAAATTTGCGCCACCAGTCCTCAAAGGCTTTGAGGGGAACAACCTCGACGCCGCCAGGCCCAGCAGTGCCGCTGAAGCTGGTGAGGAAGTTGAAGGCGTTTTGGATGATGCGCTGGGCGAGCACGACCGTGGGTGTTGATGATGCGCCGCCGCTACCGCTATTGGACGAGGAGGAGGCCTTGTTGGCAGCAAGTTCCTGCAGTCGCGTGCCGACCGACTCGGCAGACTCGATTGATACACCAATCATGTAACCGCTGCCGCTGGCGTCGGCGCCAACCTTGAACATTGCGCTCTCCTTGCCGGGGCCGATGCCGCCCAGGAAGCGGAAGTCAGGCGTCGAGTTGGCCTGCTGTGCAGCGGCGACGTCGCGGACGGTGGTGAGATAGATGGCGGCGGCGGAGTTTTCGGGCAGCACGACGTTTGGGAGGAGGAAGACGACGATGTGCGAGAAGGGCTTGGTCGTGGGCAAGGCGTAGAGGAATGAGGTGGGGGAGGGCGCGGAGGTTGGATCGGTGATGAGAGGCTGGCCGGCGGGGATGATGCCGAAGAGAGGGCCGGACATGGCTGATGTCGCTTGTTGCCTTGTAGGCGATTATTCTTTTTGTGTTTCGGTGGGTTGAGTGTTCGAATTGATTGATGTTGTTGCTGCGGCGTGACTCAGCTGGTGTGAACGGATGACGTGGGGTAGGTGGTAGTAGTTTGCGATGCGAGCAAGGATTAACTAGAGGTGGTGGTGGTGCTGTTGGAGCTGTAGCTTTAGTGGATTGGTTGTGAAAAAAGCGTGGAATAGGTGGTCGTTGGACAAGGCAGAAATTGCTACTCAAGGCAGCTAGTCGCACGCGGGAGCAGAGGAAAAGGCACCTGCAGCTTAATCGTTTGGGCAAATGAGAGGAAAGGAAAAATATAGGGCTGTTGGAAGGATTGGTTGCTTTTAATGCTGCCTTGCCGCAGCAATCCAGCCTAGCTGCAGGCTCTTCTACTACTTTTACTACTACTTCTACCGCTTTTATTGCTTCTACTGTCTCTACTACTTCTACTGCCCGCTTGGCTGTTGGTAGGCAGATCCAACTTACCCTCGGCTATAAACCCAGGAATTCTTGCTCCTCACAATCCTCATTGCGCTATTAAATCTTTTGCTCTAAATTGATTGCGGATTTTGATATTGAATAACCTTCAATTACCACGGTACGTTTGTGCATAGTTCATTTGTTGTCTGCTTTGCTATTTTGGCCTACTGCTGGCATGATTCCCCCGCGGTAGCTGCAGATGGCTGCCTGGATGTAACTCAAGACTATTTGCTGCTCATAAAGAACAACTTGAATTCTCCTCTCTCTTGTGCCCAGTGGTACTGGGACGTTTTGACGGTTCACATGCTCTACTTTTAATCAGCAAAAGTCTGTGATAATTTGCAGATCTTTTCTTTGTCCCACCTCGTGACTTGCTAGACGAGTACAACCATCTCTAATCGCACATCTAGAAATTCTTTCAAAGTACCATATAACACGCCTTTGGGACTATTGGCTCTCATAAAATCCACTATACACCATGAAGACTAATCTAGAGCTGATTGCTGCTACGGATAGGTACGTTGATTTCTCACTTCTCACTATCAAAGAAAGAATTGGAGGAGACAGTGGAATTGAAAGAAGAAAAAATTCTGTCGAAGTAGTGAGGAATCTTTTTTTTTTAAAAAAAAAAACACTAGTCACTAACTCACCACCTCTGACAGATTTCCGTACGATGATGATCAAACTGCTGAGGCAAAGACCTTGCGGGACTCGCTATTCAAGCTACTCTGGGAAGATGAAGACGGGCAATATGCCATTGGGTACGTGCCAGACTGGGTAATCAACGAGCTGTCCCAAACGCCTGAAGACATCCGCGGCGATATGACTCTAAACATGGCGGACCGCACTGTCATGCTCTTCAGGACGCCGCAGACAGAAGAGGATCGTACTCTTGCTGTGGCGAAATTGACAGGCCATTGGCATAAAAACAGCACGTTCAAATCTCTCAAGGGCTGGCGTGACGAGCTCTGGCCGGTTTATGGTCGAACAGGAGAGCTGCTCTTCAGCGTGGAGAGGGCTGCCGTCGGTTTGTTCGGTGCTGCCAGATATGGAGTGCACATGGTTGCTTACGTTGAGGATGAAACTGCTCCTCATGGCATTAAAATCTGGGTGCCAAAACGAGCGTCTAACAAGTCAACTTTCCCCGGCATGCTAGACAACACTGTGGCCGGTGGTCTGACAACCGGCGAGGACCCCTTCGAGTGCATCATCCGAGAGGCTGATGAAGAGGCAAGCCTACCCGACCACTTGGTTCGTAGCACTGCCAAATGGGTCGGGAATGCCACATACATCTACATCACCGAGGCGAAGTTTATCGGAGAGGACGGCTACATTTATCCTGAATGCCAATGGGTCTATGACCTGAAATTACCTGCCGACGTTATACCTAAGCCAAAGGATGGCGAAGTGGAAGAATTTCGGCTGCTTGACGTGGAGCAGATTAAGAAGGACTTGGCGGCCGCAGAATTCAAGCCCAATTGCGCCATGGTGATGATTGACTTCTTCATTCGTCACGGCATTCTGACCGAAGCCAACGAGCCTGACTTGGCCTTGATTAGAGCTAAAATGACCCGAGAGCTCCCATTCCCGGGTCCACACCAGCCAACCTGGGCTGGCCACATCACTCAACAGCAGCCAGTTAATGCCAATTGAGCTAGCTGTTGACCAACATCTTTCTCTCCTTTTCTCTTTCTTTCGTGGTTCTTGCATAAAATGAAAATATATGGCGCTCAGATTCCCCCCTCTCTTGCTTAGGTCCCCATATAACTTCTTTCTTCTTCTTCTAATGCCATGGTGTCGGAATATGTGGTGAATTCCCATTGTGAGTTTATAATTTAAATGCGCCAATTGTCCATGTCTGATGTAACTTTTGGTTCTTCCCGTCATAGCTCCCCAGTTCGTGATATCATGACTCGCTCTGCATCTCTCCCTTCTACCGTTTGATCAGCAGGTAGACGTTGTCAACTCGCAGTGGTGTTAGCTTCTTAACCGGGCCCTTGAGTGCCAGGAGCAATCCGCCAAAGGAGACATAAGCGTTGCTAAAAGTAGACAAACACACAACGTTAGCAGTGGACTTCTCTCACTCTCTTCCTTCACTCAACGCCATAGAAGCTGTCACTTGGTGATTGGTATGGATTCTCATACATTGTGTTGCCATCAAAGGTCTCCTCAAACTTGTAAATCTTTCCGTAGCACACGTAGTCGTAGAGGTCGGCCAGGGTAGCAGGCGCATCGCCGGATTTGCCAACGTCCCGCCAGCCCTTGTCGTCCTCCTTGCTGCCGTCTGGTGACAATGTGGTGGTGAGGACAACGTGCAGCGTGTCTCCTTCGGTGCAAGGGAACAGCTCGATATTGATGTCCAGTTCCATCAGGGTCTGGGAGTCGAGGGATGTGCACGAGATGCGTGCGACTCGGTCATATTTCTTTTGGTCGTATCCGGTGACGGTAAAGCCTTCTTCAAAAAGAGTGGCGTCGCCACTGCCGCCTCCAGACATCGTTGTAGATTTGAACGAGTTGGTATTATGTGAATTGTAGGGTTTCTGTCAATACGGGAAGATATCTGCTTCGCAGGGCGTAGGGCGTAGGGAGTGATAGGCAATAATAGTCTGGCCTGCGTTTTCTTGGCCTCGAAACTTTTGAAATGGTTCTAGAAAATATTCGGGTTGGAGGGGCGCAGCTCGGATATATGCATATCCGTGGCTGCGGCGCCAGTGGATCGGGGCAATTAGTATCGACAAAGTGTGATGATAGCTTGATGAAGGATTGAAAACAGGCCGCTCTCTTCTTGCTACTCTATTTGTGAAGTACTCGCTGCTCTATTATATAAATTTACTGGGCCATCACGCGGTTTATGCGTCGCTGTCCTTAAGACTAACTTCACAAAATCAGTGTTGTAACTGACAAAATCCGATCACTTTCTGAGTCAAACACCAAAAAATCTTAGCATGTCCTTTCGAAAAAGGAATACCGTAATTGGTATTGCCGGGACTACGCCCGAGCCGCAACGAGTCAAAGTATCAGTTCCAGGAACCCGGCCTTCGCCTCACGATGGAAGGCTCACCACATCTACCGGCACTTCATCTTTGGATCAGCTCTTAGCAGGCCATGCTGGACTTCCCATGGGGACTTCTCTTCTTATTGAAGAGTCGGGAACAACAGATTTTGGCGGGATTCTGCTTCGCTACTTTGCTGCCGAGGGACTTGTTCAAGGCCATCATGTGCATGTCTTGGGATTTGGAGATCACTGGCGGCGTGAGCTTCCGGGACTAGCAAGTGAGAGCCGATCCAAGGACTCTAGCAGTTCCAAGTCTTCGGACAGCAAGATGAAGATTGCTTGGAGATATGAGGCGTTGAGCAGCAG